GTTCAGTAAAAGTGTAAATACACTGGTAACCTTTAATCATATTTTATATGCAAACATTACATATACAAACCCTAAAGTTTTATTTCAGAATGGCCAGTAGTTTTGAAGAAATAAGTCTTTGAAATTGTACGTGTAACTTATATATATACTAGTTTTTTCACCATAACAAACAACACCAATATGACCTAGTTAGTAGTTTACCTGTGTACCATTTAATAATAATAGTAATCTCAGGACAATTCACACAGCTACATCTAGACCCAAGTTAAGCTAGCTGAAGATTATGTTATGGGTACTAGACAACTGATATAAATACAAAGATTTTTTTCGTAAATACATATATATTATCTATACATAGAAAACACCCAGACCGTTACAAACAATCCTACTCATGAATACAAATGTTTGCAGCGTGCGAGGAAACGAACCCTCGACCACCAAGCAGGAATCAAAGCAGTGTGCTAGCTAAATCGCTAGACTACCGACAACTAGCTGTACACGCGACTTCGTCCGCGTGGAATTTAACTTCTTATATTTTAGAAAAATAAAGTTAAATTCCACACGGACGAAATCCCGTGTACAGCTAGTCATCAATAAAAAAACACGTAGGTATCTCTAATATATTATACACTAGCTGTTCCCGCGACTTCGTCCACGTGGTTTTTAACTTTATTTTTCTAAAATAAAAGTAGCCTAAGTTACTAGGTAGTACCCTTATTACATCAGCTACTTGCCAAAAAAAGTCCCGTCAAAATCGGCCCAGCCATTTCAGAGATTAGCCGGAACAAACAGACAGACGGACAAAAATTGTAAAATATGTTATTTTGGTGTATGTACCGTATTTATATTCATATGCAAGTAGTAAAAAACGGTTATTTCAATATTACAAACAACAGGCTTCAACATTCTCAAGTACCACAAAAAAGATGTTTTTTCTATCAAATAAACCGTTTTTATTAAAAACAAGCTGTTCCCGCGACTTCGTCCGCGTGGAATTTAACTTTATTTTTCTAAAATAAAAGTAGCCTAAGTTACTCCTTATAAATCAGCTACCTGCCAAAAAAAGTACCGTCAAAATCGGTCCAGCCATTTCAGAGATTAGCCGGAACAAACAGACCGACAGACAGACAGACAAAAATTATAAAAATTGTTATTTTGGTATATGTACCTTATATGTATTCATATGCATATAGTAAAAAACGGTTTTTTCAATATTACAAACAGACACTCCAATTTTACTTATATGTATAGATGTATAGATTATTATTTATTTATTTATTTATTCATCCAAAATAATACAAATTGTGTAGGATAACGTAATAGTAACATTACAGTAAAATTTTGTCAACAACATAATAGCAACTTAAATATTAAATCTCGGTATATCTATAGACTAGCTGGCCAAAGCGACTTCGTCCGCGTGAAAATTTATTTTATTTTTCTAAAATAACAGTAGCGTAAGTTACTCCTTATTACATCAGCTACTTGCCAAAAAAAGTCCCGTCAAAATCGGTCCAGCTATTTCAGAGATTAGCCGGAACAAACAGACAGACAGACAGACAAAACTTGTAAAATATGTTATTTTGGTGTATGTACCGTATTTATATTCATATGCAAGTAGTAAAAAACGGTTATTTCAATATTACAAACAGACACTCCAATTTTATTTACATGTATAGATGTATAGATTAAAAAAAAAGTCACAGTCATAAGGCTAGTCGTATGCCTAATATATATAATAATGTAATAAATTCATGTAAACAGAAATTGCGGGAACATTATTTAAATTTGTAACTTTTTTACTGTCCTTCTCCTTTTTTCACATCTTTCTGTTATATCCCTATAGTTCTCTCTATATGTTTTTCTTACTTTCAATTTGAGACTGTACTTATAATTTGATTATCGGATCATTATGTGTTTATTTATACATTTATGGGTTATATATTTATGTATGTATATTGTTATTTTTTTATAGAAATGTATATTTTGCTTTGTATTTATATATCTTTTTTTGACATTTCTTATTTATATTAGTGCACCGCCAATAATCTTTCGCTGCACCACTCATGGTTGCCTGGTAAATAACGCGGCAAGATATTAAGTCCGCCACATGTACAAATTTTTTTGTGCATTAAAGTTAAATAAATAAAAAAAATACAATACTGTTTAATGAAAATGCGTATTGTCTAGTGCTTTGAGATGTATCAAAATAAGGTCAACAAAAAAGTCCGTGATGGTATATGTCTATCTCTCAAGGATAACCAACAATAACCATTTTTTATCTTTTACATTTTACGGGAATTTTTTTTATCGTATGTTTCACTTAAAATCATGTAAACTATGCTATTATGTCATAATCTAAAGAAATAATAATATTTTATAGTGAAATATCCACTATAAAATAGTAATGTAAGTAGCAATGTAATTCGTTACGCGCGAATCAGGTGTTATAAGGTCAAAGGTCGGTGCACCCCGCGTATTTGATAAATAGTGCTTCTCTGGATGTCTTTAAGAGAAAATGGCAGTATGTACGTGTATATGTACAAGTCCTTAAGTGTTAAGTTTTTCAAATGTACAATAAAGAATAAATATTTTTAAGTACAGTACTTACGTACATTAATATAATACCTACTTTTTACTTGTATCTATTGTCATTAAAATTAAATTATAAGTTCTTAACTTGACCACGACTATGTGACCCTCTCTTGGCGCCAAAACGAGTGAAAAAATGAACAGCATACGACGACGACGCATACCTATAGAGTGGAGCAACTGCTTATTCAGTTTTATTCAACTATTTAGTCCCTCCACCGTTACAATGAATGGAGGCGCATATTACAATGTACGTAGCATTGCGAATATAAAATATCTAGATTAGGTATAATAAATTCATAATTGATAGTCCGTTACGGTATCAGAGCCAAAAAGTCTTCTTTCTTTGTTTATGTACTGTTAGATGCGACAGCGACTTTGTTTTATACTACACTATGTAATGATTGATATACCTAAAATAAATAAAATATCTGAGGTTTGGACAAAAATTCAAAAGGTACTTTATTTTGAAAAAGTATTTTGAAAATACCTATTTTGCATTTAGTATTTGAAATACAAAACACAAAACTATTTTTGTTTTTAGAGTGACATTTCTATGAATTCACTGTCGATAGCGAGCGGTGCGATGGAAAAAGATAACCGTTTATAAAAATATAATAAATAGCCCTGGACAATTAACACAGACTGATACTGAACTGATATAAATAGATATTTTTATTTTGTAAATACATATATAATATACATATAAAACACCCAGACCGATGAAAACAATCGATGACCGATGAGTACAAATGTTTGCACCGTGCGAGAAATCGAACCCGTGACCATCGGATGTAAAGCGGTGTGACCACCGAGGCAGTCGAAATATATAAATAATCTTATGAATTTAATTTATTCTAATTTGTTTGTGTGCGCGGGGTGCGGTGTACGGTGCTCCCCCCCGCCTCCACCGTTGCTAGAGCTTGCATGTATGGAGCATTGCGAATATAAAATATCTAGATTAGTAAATTCATAATTGATAGACCGTTACGGTATCTATATATATTCTGATTAAAATAAGTATCGCAGTAAGGACCAGTATATAAAGTGATCAACACAATTAATTGATTTTTGAAATATATATACAGAGCCAAAAAGTCTTTGTGTATTCAAAAAATATCTAATTTGTTTGTGTGCGCGAGGTGCGGTGTACGGTGCAGGGGGGACCCTGCCTCCACCGTTGCTGGAGCTTGCATGTATGGAGCATTGCGAATATAAAATATCTACATTAGTAAATTAATAAATTCATAATTGATAGACCGTTACGGTATCTATATATATTCGGATGAAAATAAGTATCGCAGTAAGGACGAGTATATAAAGTGATCAACATAATTAATTGATTTTTGGAATATATTCAGAGCCAAAAAGTCTTTGTGTATACCAAAAATTTAGCCGTTCGGAGCCATTCAGTCACGAATTATTAGTAAAAAAAGTGTCGAGTATATCGTACTATCGACGAATATATATGGCCGCATCGCAAAATAGAATGCGACGTTGCCATACCGCCTGAGATATACGCGATAGGTGTGAAGTTATTCAGTGCAAAAGGTGGAATCAGCAAGTGTTTCGCTTGTGGCGTGATCAACAAAGTGCCCAAAGAGGTGTTTATATATATATATATATATATATATATATATATATATATATCGCCTAATCTTATGTTGTAGATTGAGGCAGCTTTATTTTTAAATCATTATAATTAAAGTAATTTATATTTTGATATTCATTCTATTGCGTTGCGCAAAACCATATTTTTATAGTTATAAAAATTAATCTATTTTTGATTATAAAAATATTTGAATAAAGTTGTAATATAATAAAGAAATACAATATTTATCCATTATAATACATTCATAATAGATCAGTTATAGTATTTCTAATACATACATAGATGCAGTTTCACATTTTGATATTATAAAACAAAGTCACTAATTTAGCACCGTTAAGAATGACACCCACTATATATTTTGTTAATTGTGTACACTGTTTTAAAGCATGTTCCAGTTGATTGGTATATAATCGTCCACCCCCACTGTATATTACATCCTGTAAGAATCCGCTACACAGCTTTAGTGTAAAAAAGTATTATTCCGACATTGTCTCGTTATAAAGTGATTGTTTGCACATAAATAAGCAAAATTCCTTAAATGGCAACACTAGCCCTTAAAAAGCAACCATTTAAATTTCCCTCAAAATTTCACAATATCATATGAGCAATTTGGTATGTCTCAGTTTAGTATAGCTACCATAACACGTGAATTTCCGTAACGGACGATTCGTGTAATAAACCGGACGCCGTCTCAGTACCGCAGTGGCGATACTGCGTGGGTAAGGCTGGACTTATATTCCAATCAACTTCGGGCGCGATATGCGGCCGTTGTGACGGCGGGTGTGGGTGGTTGCAGGGCAAGGGCTCGCGGGCGGCCCCCGACGATGACAACAAGCCGGCCGACACGCAGCAGGTAACGACCGCCTCGCTGTATCGCAACACGTCCCTTGTCCCTTGTCTCTAGTCATATAACCTTCCTTTACATCTACACTCTTTCACGCACGAATCGGCTTAAACGCAGGAAGAAATGTGCATCTAGATTTACACACAGAGAACGAGACCACGTGCGCCGCCAGCTCGCGCGTCCAGCGTCTTTCAATAGTGCGTGCTTTAGAGTTTTTTTTTGTAAATTAATTATTGCAAAATCAATAAATAGAGTTATTTTAAATGAGAGTAAAATAACATGAAACAACGCGCAATCACGTGAGAAACAGTGAACACCAAAAATAGTAAAATGCAATCCTTAACAATTGTAAGTGCTAAATCGCGCGCGCTTATGATTAGTGCGCGCGTGAAAGAGTGTATCGTGTAAAGGCAGATAGTCTCTTAACTCTCGCCTAAAGCTCATTACAACTAGCCCCCTCCTATATCATATCGTATCCCCTCTCGGCTCTCAGTTCATCGTATATCGTCCGTCGCATCTAACCCATAGTTCATGCCATCTCGCCCTACGCCTTTCGCATCCTGCACATCATCCAACGCATCTCGCTCTTCGCATCACCTGATCGTTTCCCGACATCTTACGCCTTATTACGTCGGCTATAATCATAATTTTTAGAAGTCATTATCTCCTCTGTATTTAATTTTATTTTGAAATAAAATACATATGTGGTGTCCCAAGTGTAACGATGTGTAATTATTTTTGTTTTAGTGCAGCGGATCTAGTTATTCTGAATTTTGTATACGATCGTATAAAAGTCTATTTAAACTTTTATTTCCAGCACAGTTGTAACTGTTGTGTGGGTTTCACGGGATTTGCATGCAGTTAAGAATTATTGGATAGTTTCTTGGTTACCAATAGTTTGCATGTATTTATTACACTATTGGATCACTGTTGCATGATAATACTTTCCAAATTACTGTTTGTCACTTTCTTTACGGAATGCACGTAATTATAACTTGCGTGTATATTATATTTAAATCATTAAATTGTACCAGTACGCAGTTACTATAAAAATATTGAATGTTTTATAACTATAACGGAAATGATGGCGCCGGAACGTTTTAAAGAAAGAGCGATTATGTTTTTTCTATTGTTCGCCAAATCTCATGTCACACCATCTATAGTACGGTGTACAAATATTATTATGAACTATATTTATCAATAATATTGTTAATTGTTTACGGCTAATATCATTCCTTCTATATATATTTATAAATTTAAAATTTATATGTATATTCTTAATATTTTTTTAACATATTTTTGTGGATTATAGGACTTAGCGGATTCCCCGAACCAGACGGTGGATACAGTCGCGTTAGAACAGTACCAGCAATCCATTGCCAAGTAAGATAAACAATAATAAAAAATACTTTATTCTGTTTCTTTTCATATTTACCATTTTTTTCAGACACATATTGCATACTTAGTAGTAAAATGCACTAACTCAAAAATTGCAAAGTTCGGAAAAATTACTGTAACTGTAAAGTTGACTTTTAAAAATACCTATATTTTGCACTCAAACTGATGATTCATTTCGTTTTAGACTTCACGAATCTAAAGGATATACTTTCTCTTGTTCAATACAATAAAAAAATATACATGAGTAGGACTGTTTGTATTGTTTTGGATTTTATCTAAATATTAAATGTATTGGATATCTTATGTATCTATTGTTTAGCACAGGCTTTTATTCGGAATTGGACGGCGTTCTATTATATATTAATCTATATTTATATTCTATCAAGCACAAATGGCTGTGCACAAAATCAAATGGCAGCTAATACTAAATAATTGCAGAATGAACTCCAGCCTACAGGACATACAGAGTGACATCGCGCGGCTCGCCAGCCAACAGACGCAGTTGCAACAACAGCAGCAACAACAACAGATACAACAGCAACAACAACAGTTACAGCAACAGCAACAACAACTGCAGCAGCAACAACAACAGCAACTGCAGCAGCAACAACAAGCGAAGCAATTGTTTCAACCTCAACCCCCACAGTCGCCGTACCAACAACAGTATCAACAAAACATTCCACAACTGGTATGGCTTATAATAGCTTAATGCTTTTTTCCCCTCCGATGGATACCCCGTCCAATTCAAACGGGTATCGAAATTTCGACGGCCTGAGCCGAGGTTCAATCACTAGTGGTGCCCTCAAACTAAAATCGTATCCATCAGGCGGGGCTGTCTTTCAACCGTTCCATAAGTCCTTCCGCGGGTTTGTAGTGCCATATGGACTCACCCCCTATTGTCTGGTGAAGCTGTAATGACCAGCTGTGGACAACAGCTTCACTGGACGATAATGTTTCCACGCCAATATGTTTCACTTGTAATTAAACTAATAACTATAATTACAACTGTACGTAGTAATTAATTTATTTAGTTTTATGAATATTAATATACCTTAACTTTGCTGTAATAAATGCCAAAATTGTGTGTAATATATACTAATTCGGTATAGTACTCTCTGAAGAGATAAGTATAACGTACCAAGTATAATGTCTTCAATCTTACACACAACTGCATCTGGCTTTATCCAATTTCAACCCCCATCTCTTGCTATATACGCTGGTTTTGGACTTCTCTCGAACAGTACGCGATTTGCATAAAAAGCTACTATCCGAGGTTCTAGTGGGTATGCTTTTGCCATATATTCATTCCTACACTGGAACCTAAATGGTCTGGGGCAGTGCGGTTTCAGAGGAGCTTTCTCCACGTACACTTATATTGTGGAATGAACTACATACCGTGGTTTTCTCGAAAGATTACAGCATGGGTTTTTCAACAAGGGTATATTAAGGTTTCTTAAGAATCAGCAACGCGCACTTGTCACCCCTGGTATTTCAGGTTTACTATGGTAAACATTAGATGGACCGTATGCGATCATTTGCCACCATCGTAGTATAATAAAAATTAAATGAACTGTACAGTGATTAGTGCTGGCAGAGATTTATTTATTTAATAAATTAATTGACAACATATTTATATCTAATTATACGGTTTACGTAGATTGCACTCGTGCGCCGTCAGCTTTATTTCATAACGCATCAATAACTTATTACTAAAATCAGCTCACCAAACATTCTGTGCTCATCTATAATTACTCATTGACCATTAATTACCATAAACTTATCATTACGAAAAACTTTATATTTTAGTGGTAGATAGTAGATGTGCAGTGTAACAAAATCGTACACTATACTTAACTATATGAAGGTCGCTACATTCTAATTCTATTTATTAGAGAAGGTATGACTTTATAGACTTCAGAATCTCGGACCTTACCCAAAAATGAGTTTAAGAGATGCATTACTCGAGCAATGGGAGCTTTATTAGCATGGTGTTGGTAGCGTGCGCACCGTGGCTGAGTGGTTCCCGTAACATTGCAGCACAGCCAGTTCAGCTCGCAGCACAACGTGTCGCGGCCGGCGCTGGGCGGCGGGTTCGGGTCGACGCCGCACCTGCCGCGCGACCCGCACCCCCTGCCGCCCGCCCCCACCCCCAGCACCGACCCCGCCTACGACCCCTACCACTACCACCAGTACAGGGACATCGAGCCCGAGTACGGCCACCAGTTCTTCCTGCACGAGGCCCAGTCGCCCCCGCAGCGGCGCACGTGGGCCCAACACGCTCAGCAACAGCACTCGCAACACCACGACGCAGCCGAGCTGCGGGGCTGGCAGGTAGGTGTCGCACTTTGTAAGGTCCCGCGTCCCGGTTTCTGTACGTATCCTCTGTCAATATAATACATACGATTCGGTCGATCGTCTATAATAGCCTTAATGAACAATTAATACTAATCAATTTGTCAAAATCTGTGAATATTATTTATTATTGAAATACGAGTACAACTCAAAAGTAAATTTATGATATGTTGTTCTTAGATCGAGCACATACATAATCTGACCGCTTGATAGTTAAATCACACCATTATGTGTGAAAGCACCTACAAAGCTTCCTTATACTGTATTGGCACCATATATTGACAGACCCAGTGCAGTCTGATATTGCGAAAGGCACTTACACCCAGATTGCCGGCAATCATTAGATTAGTCTGTACGATACCATATTACATGTACCATACTATATCTGTGGAAACCGACTTCATTATCTTCTAGTGTTACGTCAATCAGCATCAGAAGAAGCAGTATTTTTTGTAGTATAGTTCGTACTGTCTTTCCTCATTCATGTATGTATACAACGTATTTTTATTGAAAAGCAATAGCAACACATGTATAAAATTGGTGAGAGATTGCCACAAAAAGCAAAGAACTTGCCACACACGCGCTTATAATAATCAAACGCCAAACCAATTAACTGCAAAATATGCAACCAATAACTCTATCACTACGTGCTTTAAATCTTTGTGCCCATGTGTAATGTTTACGCACTTCTAAAAATGGAAATTACCTAATATAACGGATGGATGGCATTTAAACATATAAATATATTGTTTTTCAGCTTCACCAACAAAATCACCAACTTCAATACCAACAGCCTACCCACGAGACACCCCAACGAACGTGGAAGTCACCGTCCCCCCAACCGCCCTCAGATCGAAATTGGAATCCCCAGGGCTTTGTGTTACACGATAGGACCAATCAGCCTTTCCAAGTGCACTATAACAACGACCGGTATCAAAATGGCACCGAGAACATTCGAGATACACAAAACCATTTAAGCTACACTGTGATAAACTCCAACCAATACGTCTCCCAATCTCCTCCGCTAGCGGCTAGTCCGCAACGTCGATCAAAAACCCCACAACGGCAAGGCTCCCTTCCAGAAGTCTCTAGAAGACCGGAACCGGTCAGTTTGCAGCAGTTACAGACGCCAGTACACGCTCCTCCCCCCGACGACATGGAACCGCAGAATATATCCTTCATCGGCAATGCAGAGGACGACGCACTACGCCAAGGAATCAATAGACTGAATATTTCATCTGGCACTAGGACGTACCGTATACCTTCTCCCACTAGACCGTCTCTTAATCGCAACTCATTCCAACAAAACGAACAAGACGAAGCGAGCGAAAAGAACGAGAAAGGTTTCTATATATCATTCGATAACGACCAACCGAAGAGGCCGAAGCCACCATTACGGGCGAAAAGGGGCTCGCCTAAAAAAGAGAGGTCATCGGAATTTGAGAGTCCGGAGTTAAGTCCGGAGAACACGTGGATGCAGAACGATCGTGTGCCGCAACCCGTGGAGGAGGAGTTCGTGGTACATAGGAACACGGGGTTAGAGCAGGCGGTTCGATCTAATGACGTTTCTTCGGAGCGCAGAGAAACGCCACCTAGAGAACGACCACAACGCATTAACAACGCCGAGCCGGCGGCTTTGGTCATTGGTGAAATGAATCCTGATCCGGTAAGTTCCTTTTCTATATCTTAGTTCTTATTTGTCTAGACTATTTCATATATGTTTATATTAATTGTTTGTATAAAAACTTGTACATAAACTAATATATATATAAATGCTACCTGATCTATCAGCGCACACTTTAGCGAAGCATGTTTATGTCACATTTTCGCAACTAAAATACTTACTTTGAAGATTAGGGAGATTAGGAATAATTTGGAACGTTCGATACTAATCGATTTGACGTTAACGTTTGGCGTTGCTCTTTATTCTCTATATTTTTCTTTACATTATGTTTCGAACATTTATATATTTTATAGTATCTATATTTGTTTCCTGAACTTTTTCTAATATTTTAATAGTTCTACCGCTATTCTAGGTAGTGATGATGCCAATAAATCAGAATTTATTAAAATCGGAATTAAGTTATAATGATGTAACTAACCCTACTATGTTTTGTATACGTGATTGATAGATAACTTTAAATAGGCTTTTGCTTTAAAAAGTATAGTTTAGAATACAAATGTGAAAGAGTATATTACTATTGGAAATTATATAAAGACTGACATAATTATAGATTTATTGATAATTTGTAATTATTAAACGTGCCCTTAGAAAATAAAATATAAAATTTAAAAAGTCTAATGGCTTTACACATACGCTCTATCGTGCACGAAAGAGTGAACACAAAAATTTGCAATCAGTGACAATTGCGAGCGCTAGCTTTCTCGCGCTTGAAAGAACGTGTCGTGTAAAGTCGGCTAATGATCGCGGTGTGGGGTGTGGCGCAGAACTCGGCGGAGGAGATGGAGCGCAAGAAGGAGCGCATCATGCTGCTGTCGCTGCAGCGGCGCGCGCGCGCGGACGAGGCGCGCGCGCAGGCCGAGCTGGCCGCCGCCGCGCGCCGCGCCCGCGACCAGGCCGCCGCAGACCTGCGCCTCGCGCGCAAGCAGGACCAGGCGCGCCGCCGCGAGGCCATCCTGCAGCAGTACAAGCTCAAGAAGGCCATCGAGGAGGCCGAGCGGGAGGTACGCGCGCACACGCTCATACTATTGCACCGCAACACCTGCATTCATGTTTATATATTGGCATATTACAATATTCAAACATTTAAACAAATTTGTACGTACACTTGACTTACTTTGCTTTTGGAATTGTAGACCAAGCCGTCCAATGTATAGGTACAAATTCATTTCTTGAATTTTTTATTATTATTTGTAATCTGACCTTTCAGGTCGATTAGCAGCTTTATTTGAGAAGAGCGGTCAAGACGTAGCTGAGGGTCTTTTTGTATTACCCCTGATATTTAACTAATATTGTATATCGGCATTTTCAGGGTAAAGTTCTAGACAAGTCTGAGTTCCTGGACACGCTGAAGGGCGGCAGCGGAGCGCCCGCTGCGGCCGCCAGCCCGGCCGGCGCGCGGCTGCGGGGCCGGGCTCCGGCCGCGCGCGCGCGCCCCAAGACCATACACGTGGACGGCGGCGCGCTGCAGGCCGCCGAGGGCATGCTGGCCTCCAAGCAGCCCTCCTCCACCAACCTCGCAGGTGAGGCGCCCTACACGCTCGTGTAGACGGACGACTTGTCCCGACAGCGACCACGCATCTCTCACTTGTCTGTTGTTTCATTTTGCGGTCACATATTGGCTTCTTAATTAGTCAAAGCGCTAATTGAGAAACAAAATATTTACGCTCATACATGACATTTATGTTTTACACTATAATGTGAAATATATAATATCCTTTTTCTGTTTTAGTATACCTTTCTCTTTCATATCGACAAATTACATTTAGTGAGAGGAATAGAATGCGTGCCGTAGTCAGATGGCACAATTTTTGTGATATACTTAAACAAAACATCGAACATACTGTACAGTATTGATTACTCTATTCAACAAAATTGACATACACATGCACTTGTAAATGTAAAAATATTTTTTACCTTAAAATCATGATAATTTTGCAAGAGTTCTATCCTAGAAGTAGATGAGTTTATATTTAATACTACACATTCATTTTGCTATGTTAAATACAAAAAACATGTACTACGCTCTCATGCAACTATGCCTTGGACTTCAAGTTATAACAAAATCAAAATTGAAAGCATATTAAAAGCTTCAAGATTTTTAGTGAGACGGCGGAATGAAGAAGAAATGTACAGTATGTATATTAGAGAGCATAGTATTTGTACTTCCCTGTTTACTAAATATTATTACTTTTGCTTGTTTGTTATTTCATATTTTACCCCTGCACTGAACTAGCTTTTATATTTCTGAACTACTTTTTTTACCACTTTTATTAACTGGTGTTTAATAAATATAATTCTTAGCAACTGCCAATGCAATGACCACGTTTATACAATATTTTTTATTGTTTATTTCCTTTGTTGCGGCTGTGCTGATGCATCCCAGCGCTGTTTGTGTACAAATATGACGTAATGTAGAGGATTCCCTAAAATGATCGTGCCGGTATTCGATGGTGGTGTGTAGAGAGGGCCTCTGTTTTACGTCATATTTGATGTGTGACGTGTGTACAGCGGGCGGCACGATGCGGCGCGACTACTACCGCGGCTCGCAGGACAGTCTCGCGGAGCGCTCCGCCCTCTACAGGGGTAAGTTGCTTTATCTTGTGTATACCCACAAATATATCGAGTGATTTTTTTAAACCACGTGATCTGCGTATTAACAATGTAATAGTTCTACATACAAAGACGTGCTGTACATCATTTGCGCGCCGTTATGTTAGTTGTAACAGACTTACGAAATGAAGTTTTATTCGATTGGTTAGTATGTTATCTTTAACTTTATTCAATTAAATTCACTTTCAATATATTTCTATATATATAAGAAATACTACGTTAAATTAAATTTCATAAATTGTCAGAAATAAAAAAAATAAGTACGGGATTTCAAAAAATAAAAATACGTCATACTGAATAAATAATCTAAAAATATATATTATTTTGTGTATAACGGAGAAGTGGTCATTGAAATTTGAAAAACAATGTGAGTTATATTATTATATTATCAACATTTATATTACGCACAAAATTTCACCTCACTATAATGTAATGCCTGAAAATACTGAAACAATCAATGTCGTGCGCTAAATGCTAGCATTGTGCATGAGACTGTTGCATGAAAGAATTATTGTTTATGTAAAACCTATTTCATTTTCATTTGCCCCTATTTCTTTTCTATTTGTACTTAATTGTCAGTACACTCTACATTCCTTACATACATTGTTCATACAGGTTGTTCAAAGGATGATTTTAAATAGTATAAATATATTATTAATACTATTACTGGAGTATAGTGTAAACGTATTTTAAAGTTTTTGGTATTTTTTTTCTATTTTAATGAAGTAATAATTTAAATTATATAAGCGGAGGGGTGGAAGGTAATAGAATTCGTTTCCCTTTGCCTGCCCCGTAAGACAAGGGTAGAAGGCTATAGAACTTGGTTCTGTCTGTCTGCCTCGTATGATATTTGGCCTAAATATTTAGATTGTTTAATTTACTAAAATTAATACTTATGTAAGATATAAAATTTGGGACATATTCATACATTTTTTACTCATAATTAAGTAAATTTCTAGGTTTTTTTTATACCACGACGGTGGCAAACGGCTCAGATGATAAACAGTTACCATAGCCGTATCAAGTTATATGTAATTATATTAAATAAAATAACTGCAACCATAATATTAAATAAAAGATTTAAAAATTTTAAAAAGGTAAAATTGTATTAAATACCAGATGGTCTTTATTTTGTTTAGTCTTATTTAATCTATACTTAAATACGGTTTTCTTATATAATTGATATTACCTGAGTAAATATAAAGTTAAATTTTTAACACGTATATTAATAATGTGTATCGGGGTATTAATTTTACCCAGTACTGATAGTAATTAAGCAAATTCCAATGGACTTTTAAATTTCTTCATCAGTGTATAACAGTGTAAACGGTGATGGATTTTAACAAATAAAAAAAATATGTATGAGTTTTTTTTCTAACAAAATAATTGAAATTAATTATAATTACAAAAGTAGTGATTTCTTCTTTTCATATTTCGAATTCCCTCTTAATACTCGTTATATTCTTACTTATATGAAAACTTATTACGATACTATTTTGTTAATGTATTTACATTATTAATAACTGTTTTTTATTTGAGAGGTAAATATGAATCATATACTCGTATTATCGTATCTTCTCTTTCTGTTTATCTATAACTTGTTCATCTTCACTATGTTTTCCGAAGATTTCCTTTAGATGTCCTTTGTGCCAAACAGTATTGAACCTTATGGCTTGGGTGATAAAGACATATTTAAAAAGTTTTATAAAACGTCTTTTAAAATGGAATCGTATTGTAAGTTAGAAATTAAGTCGATTTTCGTTCTCTATCTAAAGGAATTGCTTCGTGAAACAGCCTTAGGTGACTAACAGTATGTGACTAATCCCCGTACCGGTTGTAGTAACCCCGGTAGAGTCCCCGGTGGAGGACCGCGGCGGCATGTCCCCGGGCAGCGCCTCCAGCGGGCCGCTCGGCCGCCGGGGCTCCTGCAAGACCTCCAGAGGTGAGTCGCACCACACGGCCCACCTACATTTCTATTGCCCTAACCAATCACTTAGTATGATTAGCAAGACCTACAATCACTTAAAAAATATAGACAAGAACCACAGATTATTATATATACAGAGTGAAATATTTTCAGCCAGTGTTTTTTCTGAAAAGTTGTAGCATATAAATATTTACATACAACTATGATCCATATTGATAATAATATTTTAAATTCTGTTACTCATAATTCACTAAAATCAATAGTTGAGTCTGGACAATTCAGATTAACCTAGTAATGAAGCTTATACTCTGTACAAAAACTATCAGAATAGTGTTTAAAAATATATAAATATTTTTTTACCGCGACGAGCTATTAAATAGTCGAATGGTAACAAATAATCTGTAGAATTCCTTCTAATATAGCTCTTAGGTTGGTCAATTTAAAACATAAGATGGATTGTGTACAATCTGTGCTAGTTCTATATTCTTTCAGCAGAGTTTTGAATTTGCTCCAACAAATTTTCTTGTGTGATTGGAAGTCTAGTTAATAATAATACGTCTGTGGCCCTTTAAACATTGTCACATCAAGATGAAAATGTATTATAATAATTATGTTAATACAAATGATACTTGTGGTGGCAAAGTTTCTACAGTGGTCTTAGAATTTTCGTGGCCCCGCTCTATTCACACAATTTATATATCATACAGTAATGCAACTCGACTAAATTATTTCATTGGAATAAAAGATATAGAATTAATTTCACTTTTAAGAACTAAGAATTGATAGTATTGGTGTATGATATAACGAATTGTAGACGCACAGTGTGATATGTTACCCATCTTTTATTATTTTACTATTTAATACAGTATTGATAAAGTCATTGGACAGGCTTTAAAATATTAAACATTGTTAAAAACATACTTATTAATATTCTTTCTCAACATTTCATTTCGAGTGTCGAGTTTACCCACGGGGATTTGTAAAAACAATGATTTTTAATGATTGTGAAATAAGATTGGTGACATTCATATATGTGTTAATCATAATAACTCCCTTACATAACTTCAGCCGTATGCTTTGCAGTGTTTTCCCTCTCCTAAATGACAACTTGTGCGTGATATAATATTTTTTTTGCTTTATTGTTTTTTTTTTAAGTAACTAACTACAAGGTGTAAAATAAGGTTTAAAAAATAAATAGATGTTGGTATAGTTGTCATTATGGAAATTCACTCACAGACAACTTATTTAAAAAAAAACACCATCAGTTGTATTGACGTAGCCGACAACGAAAACATGTTTTATATCAATCATTGTTATAAAAAACGTTTTCGTTGTCATATCGTTATATTTTTTTCGTTGTAATGAAGACTTAAAAATATCATTTTATTGTTAATTATTAGTGATATTTTTAGGACTTCAAATTTTTTTTTGTTGTATGTAAGATGCACAACTATTAGTCATTCTTTGTGCATTGATTTGTTGAATCTTGATGTAACGAAACTGACTAAAAACTATGAACTGTCGAAAAAACAAAACGCGACTATGCTTTGAGTTTAATATTAGAATACTCCAACAAGCGCGTGGTTGTATGGTTTTAAATGTGTGGCTCAATATCCGTTTAGGACGCTTATTTTGATATTATGTTGTAGAAAGCTTCCATTTTATTTATTATTATAATCGATTCCTTTATAATTATATGTGTATGATTTCAGCAACGCATAGATTTAGTGACACCTCCTGCAAATTATGCTTTTTATACTTTTTTGGCCATTTGTAGTTTGCAACCTGGACTAAACTGAGGGGTTTTTATTAAAAGAGCTTATTCCAAATTTTAAATTATTCCCAAAAATCCAAATGCCCTCTAGACCTTCCGCGCATTACTTGAATCGGTTCCATCAGTACATCCATTCAACTGAAATCATCCAGTAAAGGAGTTTACCCATTATCGCGGCGATAGTGTTAATTTTGTTTGCAATATATAATTATATCAGTGTATCCGTTTATGAGAAATCATAATACGACGGAGCCTGCTTATGTGATCGATGCATGCTTTCGACGTGAATACGTCCGGTTTACGATACATTGACTGCTGTTTACATATAACCGAATGGAGTTCGCATATTGCATGTGAGTGCGTGATGACATGTATAGGAAACATTTCAGAGCGTGTGAATGAGGAACCTCAGTCGTCACGTGGAAGGTCTAAATATTCCACTTACCAGAGTAACTTTAAGGCGGGAAGGAAGTCTAGCTCTCTTATGAACTTGTGCGGTAAGAGAAGTTTGTACAACACAGACTAAGCTTGACTCACGTTGGTATGACGGGATGTACCCGTCGCTTTTATTTATATGGTGCGTTGGGTTTATTTTCCGTTGCTGGTGCCGGCGGTTGTTATAAAACGCAATTTTTCTCTAACTCTTTTTAATATCTCATATAGTAAATAAATACATTAATTCTCATAAATAAAACCTTATTATGTGCATTTTTAATTTCAAATTAATATTCATTATATTATCTAACGTTACGTAAGATTGTCATTGGACAAAGCATGTTTATATTTCTGTAAAGATTTAGATCTTTTGGTAACTTTTTGATGACGCTGCCGGCACAATGTCTTTCTTTCGTCTTGTGCACATTATTTTCTTTTAGGTGATTGGCAATATCTATGTACGTTATTGTATTAAGGTTGTGGTTTCTTTTGTTGCGTATATCCGTATAGTTTCAGGTCGTTAGCGCATGTTTCGTATAATTTCTGGTGTTGGTGTGACATCGTCTGACATACGGAATCACATGTTAAATACTCTGTACCAAATTCTATATAATTACAACAATTTTAGATTTAATTTAGTAAAATTACATGACTCTTATCATTTAGAACTTAGCATTTATTTATTTATTAATAGTATTTGTTCTTTTTAGAAGCAAATGTTACAGGAATCATATTTATGTTTATATATAGAATTTTATACGGAGTATTAATATAGTACTGTTACATTCTGTATGTATGTTTATTTCATACATTAGTGCAGTCGCTAAATATCTGTGTATTATGTATGTATGCGTAAAATACAAAATGTTTTATTCGCTTCTTTTGTTTAGTTTCGCCTTTTTTTGGTTTCGCTTAGCAGTAGATAACTGTTGGTACATTTAGTATTTTACGCTAATTATAGGTACACGAGTATAGAATATATTTATAAATTATATCAACTAAATCGGAATATTAATAAGTATACTGATATACTAATTTTAATTTTATGCTAGTCAATAATTTAGTAACCGTCCTAATATATCTAAGTCACTAACAGGAGAGAATGGATGATATTTTAATATTGAACACCATAAATATCGTTATAACATTATTTTTAGTAGTGTATTAATAGGAATTTGTTTTAAATATATGGGTAACTTATATCAAAAGTTTATGTAGTTATCGCAATTATAGCAAAAACAAAATTTATTATTGAGTAATATGTTAAAAATACTTGAATTAAATGATAGTTATTAATGATAATTGAATACTTGAGTACTACTGAACTAGAATTCTAGTTTCTCTTATAATTTTGTGGGGAATGGGATGGAGCTCTCGTGGCCGACCGATATGAAGGCAACGAACCGCAGAGGTATTTGGGTATAACTGAATGAGTTTAGAGCTGTACGTATTCGTACATGTTATGGGAAGGGGGGACCCGCGCTGAATTAGTTTAGAGCAGTACCCACTCGTACAAGTTACGGGAGGGGAAGGGACCTGTGGGTCCCTCACCGCGGTGGGGCCCGAGACTAGCAGGCAGGTTTCCGCAGACTCGGGGCTGGGCCGAGCCACGCCTCCACGGCGAGCCGCGTCCCCGGGCGTCCGCACGCTGGGCTCGCCCGCGTCGGGCCCGGGCTCGCTGCCCGGCGCCATCGGCAAGCGGCGGCTCGCACACAACGACGACGCCTCCGACGTCTCCTCCACGCACTCCTCCATCATGGACTACTCGGGTGAGTGACAACCTCGGACAGCCTCCCGCAATCGTACGTTGATAGGCAATGCGTCTAGCTATCGACGTTACGCTCGCTTGACGAAAGTGTTGATGTACAGAGTACTACATATGTCACAGAGTCTGGAAAACGTTAGGAAAATAATAGTCCAAGCCTAATTTTTGAGCCTTTCTATTACCGTTTGCTCTCGGTGGTAAACTTTTAAAATGGTTAAGGTACCTTAACCATTTTAATGAAGAATTAGGAAGATGAAAGTCAGCTGCAGATCCGAGGGTGGAAGCAGGAACCTTAAAGACTTCAAAAGAAATTTCCTAAATAAGAATAGAAAGCAACTTTAAAGTTATAGTACATAAGATCTTATTTTATCTTAAAAGTTTATGAGGTTCCTGTGTTGAGCACAGCCTGGAGACCGCAGTTGACGTTCCCTGGTCTACATAATACTTCTTAATCTTAACCATTACAGAAGTTTTCAACCTGGAGGAACTTTGTCACATTGACCTGGCTGATCATAAAAACTTTAACATAACCTATAGTATTGTTGACAGTTATCGTCTATCTACATATACAACAGATAAAACATTCCAGAATGAGCAGTGGTAAAAAGCTCTGTATATGTATTACTCTGTGTTTAAGGAGAGGTTTCTTATAATTTGTCGGTGGTGGACGTGCCTATTGTGGCGAAATATTGTTAGAATTATATAGCAGTAAGGTTTTTATTTCTAGAAATGTTCGGATTATAAAATTATTCAGTATTAATATCAAACACTAATATTGTTCGCCGTCGTGTTTGTAGCAATAAAAGAAGTTCAAAATTTTTTTATGTATTTTTAACTTTTTTATCATATCTACTTTGATCGGTGAAGGAAGACGAGACGATTTTTCTTGAACGATAAAAGTACTAATTTCTAATATGTTACAAAATTAGTTACATGTGATTGAGTGTTAAAAAATTTCACAATTCTAAATTGTATTTTTTTAGCAAGCTGTCCTGGCCATCGCAAAGGTTCTCACGCAAACTATTAACAGTATTGTTTCTAGGTAGTTAATAGTCCACGTTAGTGTCCGACTGAAATTGGTTAAACAGAAATTTTTCGTTTCAGTTTTGGTAGAAATACCGAAAATATTTTGTATAATTTTTGGCTTAGTCTCTTTGCTGTATAACTAAGATTTTATTTATATAATTAGGTATTTAATAATGAAGTGAAAAAGTAGTTGGAAATCATTTTATAAATACCTGTGAAATAATCAAAAAAACTGTATCGATCGAGTGGCTTTCTGATAATATCGTCTAAATGTACTGCTGAAACCGTAAATTCGGTCGGACACTAGTCTACTTACACGAATAATATCGTACAATTGGATATACTATATCACGTATAAGTAGAGTAACTTAATGTACGATGTCATGCCAACACGCCAAGTAAAGTGAGATATATATATACCTATGTTAAGATACAATAATAAAGCATGGTTTTGCGATGAGTTGCCAGCATTTTGATCTAACAACGAACTTGCATTGATATCGCTTTCCTGACATACGCTTGATCACGACGATTTGAAATAACACGACATACATCACGGCACTAATCAATTTCATTGTGCATTTGTCATAACATTATTATACCGAGACTTAGATGAGCTATCGTTGATGAACATAATGCTAGATTATCTAACGCCGACTCCGTTTCATTTTAAAAAGATTGAAATTGTTTTTTTTTTTTATATAAGAATGGTTCAAATGCTATTTGCTACTGCAACTAACAACTGATTAATATACTTGTAAAGTTTTAAATTTCAATCTTTTATTATGAAAAATTTTTCCAACAGCGTTCCTTAATCAGCTTAGTGGAATATATACATAGGATTCCTCAATAATAGTATAAGAATGGCATTTCAATAGCCGATGACTTCATCACATGAGCTGTCAGTTTACGTTACATTTGTTATGTAACTGGAAGGACGGCCCATGTGTTTGTAGACCGTAACCGTCGCCTATATACAGAATGATGAACAGTAACAGGTAGGACGTCATTACGTGACGCCCGTGATACCACTCATGCGTTGCTAATCCGGAGGACAATAATGCCATATCTTATGTAATTTGCATTCACAAGCTTGCTTCTCGCCGTGCACGGGTTAAAAGGTGCGCTATTTCCAGGCCCGCGATTGTATAAGCAGCCGACGACGAAATCAAATAGGGGCATAATGTTGAACGCGGTGGAGTACTGCGTGTTTCCGGGCGCCGTCAACGCGGAAGCAAAACGGCGGGTGCTGGAAGAGATCGCGCGCTCGGAGAGCAAGCACTTCCTGGTGCTGTTCAGGGACGCCGGCTGCCAGTTCAGGGCGCTCTACTCGTATTGTCCAGACACGGAGCAAGTTACCAAGTTGTACGGAACCGGGCCTAAACATGTCAACGATAGGATGTTCGACAAGTTTTTCAAGTTAGTATAATAAATTGTTTTAAATGTGGCTGTGACAGTTTTAATTTTAATAAATATAAGAATAAAGGCGTACATTTTTAATTAATGATCATGATACCATTTATCATGTATTAGAGAAGTTAGGTAGTAATATATTCAATAATTACTATTGAAATAAAGCCTAGAATGTATTATGAACTGCTTAGTACAGATGATTTTATAGTTAAATAAATATTGTTCAATTTCATATTATCTTACATGTACATTGAAATTAATGATATCCTCAATACAATTTCAGATACAACTCTGGTAGCAAGTGCTTCTCGCAAGTGCACACGAAACACCTGACCGTGACAATCGACGCGTTCACGATACACAACTCACTGTGGCAGGGCAAGAAAGTGCAGCTGCCCAGCAAGAAGGACATGGCTCTCGTCATATAACCAGCCAGCGTCCGGCCGCGACGCCCACGGGACCGGTCTATTAAATACTAAATTTAAACAATTCACGTTATCTAGTCGCCGGCGACAAGTCGAGTCAAGCCTTTTTTTACTCTTCAGTTAACGCTACGGTAGGGCTTTAGTGCCAGTGTCCATATACGTTTGTTTTACGGTTAGTGCATTTTTTCGGACGGGAGCTGTGTTACATGTAAATTGAATGTGTTTATTTGCTTGTAAGAGTGTGATGTCGACCGATGTTCGTGTCAAGGCCGCCCCGTTCGTGTTTCTCGTGTAAACGTCGGTTTATAAAGTCATAGATAATTTAGCGCGGTGGCCGGACGGAGGGCGGCGCTCGGTGCCTGTGTCATATTGTACAGTTAGAGAAGGTTTAGTATGAGGACGTAAGCTCGAATTGATATGTTTTATTTTGATTAGCTTCGTTTGGTTCGCATTAAATTTGTGAAAGTCTATCATGTTGAATATGCCCGCTGTTGTGTTGTTAATTTATTTGACGTGTCGCGCTCGGTGACGGTTTCCCGGTTGCACACGCTGTGGTATGATGTACGGCACTAAATTGTTAAGCTATGTATTTACAAAGCAATATCTAACAAAGTTAGACGACATTGGCAGATAACAGTTGCACAAAATGAGTATTCGAATGTTTCGCTCATAGTATTAGTAACTTAATACTTGCTTAGTAAAATACAAGGCTATATGTAGACATGGGCAATACGCCTTTACGTGGTATAAAACCGTATCTTATTATTTTAAAAAAGTATTGGCCACATCGGTTGAAATTGAAGTACTCAAACTGTGTATTAGGTATTTTTAATACGTGTGTGCATGACTCATAGATACCAACATAACGTAACAGTAATATCTAATATGTGGTTTGTTGTGTTGTTTCATCCGATATCGGTTTTATACATAAATATTGATAGTGTATATTTGTATCGCCCATGACTACTTAGTAATATCGCGACGTGTGTGCGGCGGCGAGGAAACGGTCAACGTACCATCGGCCGCTTAGTATATCGTATGTGTGCGTCGGTTGCTGCATTAGATATCGATATTCGAAAAGTTTTACTCAGTGTATAAACGCAATGTTTGCCATATGTATTAGTGAGATGGTCCATACGTTCCATAATGAACTAATTGTCTCAAAACGTAACAGCCAAAATGTCGGATGTACGCTCGTGTATTGCGTACGCAACTTTTTCTATAAGAAAACTGTCCCTCATATTAATATAACACGTTCACAAACTAATGCTTATTTGTTATTATAAATATTAACTCGTTAGTAATTATTTCAATTTGACTGGAGTTAAGATTAAGGTGATTATGTATTTGTTTAATGTCTCCTAATTCATTTAACGTTATTTCCATTTTTTTACTGCTTGTATAGCTAAAATAAGCCAAGGCACACTTACGAGGTATTTGTATTGCCTTATCCTGTAAATAATTGTTTATTTGTATACAGCTATTTATTAAAAGAATGTTAACGAGAATTGATGAATATCATTTTTTCATTGTTTAATTAATGATCGGTCATCAATAATATACTACCGATAGTAAATATATGGTATGCAAATATACTGTATTAAAAAGCATAACGAAATAATATTGAATTTCATATTATCCAGTGGTTTTATTTGGCATCCCACAACGTTTCTCTTATTTCGGACAACCCTAAAAGTAAAGTTCCAATTCCTGTCTGTTTGTATGGACCTGGGTGTTTTTTTTAAGTACCTAATTGCAAGAAACAAAAACATCTTATATATAAAAAAACTATCGATTGTATAGTACCCATACTACAAATTTGTACATATTTTCGCACTCGTCCGACTTGCAATACCTATCTTTTCCTACTGGTATATATTATATTATAGTGCACAACTGTTAACTAGGATGTTATAATGACAAGACACTTTACGAGACTGATTCTTTATTATATTGACGGTGAACATAAAATATTAATAACAATGTACCCACATATATGCCATTCTTCCCCCCTAGCTACAAAGTAATATATACATAATAATTATTTACTTGTAGATATATAACACTGTAACGAAAAGAAATAACCTAAAACAATTATATTTACTACACCTGTACATACCATAATACTTAATCTTATATATAAAATTTTACGTTCAATTAGTACATTAAAAAAAAAAACTTAATCTAAAACTAAAAACACTGAAACAAAAAAAAACGTTTAACTTTAAAGTTCAATTAGTATAAAAAATAACTAAAATTAAAAAAAAATACAATTACATATTAAACCAGTTGTCTTATGTAAGTATAACAGTAATATACTACGCTTACTGGTGTACGCATACACAAATGGAAAAATGTACAGCTTGTGTGAAACCTAAAATATTTGTAAAAATTATTCATCCATTCCATATCTTGACACCGGTTTGCGTATTCGAATTGAACGCGATCTAGGGGCATCGCCATCGGGTGACTCATGAGTCCCTGGCGAAAGCACCTGTGGGTATAGTGACCGCGGGCCTACCGGCTGTGTCTCCGTCACGGGTTCAATATCGGGTTCAGGTAGATTTTGGTCGTTGTTGGACACGATTTGACCGCTACTGATTGATGCAGCATCCCCACTCGATCGACGTTCATAATCATATAATAAATTTGAATCAATACTATTAAATATGCGTAACTGATCGACATGTTTTTTTAAATATTTATTATTATACTTGACATAGTACGTCAATGGACCCACACGGTCAGTGACAACACCCCTTTCCCATGTAAATGTATTACGCCGAAACAACTTAAAATACACGTGATCCCCGACGCTGAATTGTCTATAGGTATTATTATTTTTATACTCAATCTGTTTTCTTTGTTTATTTTTCACTAACTCGCTCGTGCTGGGTTGTAACAAACTAAAAGGTGTACGCACCTCTCTGCCTAGCAACAGGCTTGTTGGAGTTTTCCCAGTTATACTATGTGGTGTAGAGCGGTATATTAATAAAAAATTGTCCAACGCCAATTCCGAATCTATTTTGTCATGAACCGCTTTTTTTAATGCTTTTTTAATTATTTTTACCGCATTTTCTCCCGCCCCGTTACTACTAGGTTTATAAGGAGTCGTTGTTATTGGATGTACACCTAGACTGTTCAAAAAAATTGTAAACTCATGACTAGAAAATGGTGGTCCATTATCGGACACCAATTCATGTGGAAGACCAAATCGTGCAAATACTTTGCGCAATTTGTCTATGGTCGAAGTAGCTGAAGTGTTGTGAACTCTAAATGACTCAATCCATTTAGAGTGTGCATCTATGATAACAAAATAATACTTAGAATCGCCGGGTAACGAGAAAAAATCAACGTGTATTCGGTACCAGGGTTCCTGTGGCCACATCCACGGGTGCAGCGGCGCGGCCGGCGGCGCGGGCCGCTCGCGGGCGCACGTCCCGCACGCGCCACACACACGTTCTATGTCGCCATTGATACCTGGCCAGTATACATAGTTTCGAGCCAAATTTTTACATTTCACCACACCCTGATGCGTCTGGTGTATTAAATTTAAAATAGCCTCTCTCAATGCGCCGGGAATAACAACCCGATGACCATATAAAATACAGCCTTGCTCGATACTGAGATATTCCTTTATTTCAAAATATGGCTTTAAATCTTTACATTTACAGTATATCCAATTAGATTTAATACTTTTATGTAACTCTTGCAATACTTTATCGGATGCTGTATATTTTGCAATATCCTTGTAACTAATGGGAGACGTATTTTGTATAAAATTAATGTATGAATCGATCCGCGTACTCTCTTCTGTCACAACGGTCGGAATCCTCGATAGGCAATCGGCTACACAATTATGTTTTGAACTGATACACTTAACTTTATAGTTGTACGCGCCTAGTATTACGGCCCAGCGCTGAAGACGGCTCGCGGCCATCAATGGGACTCCCTTATTTTCATTGAAAATAGACGCGAGCGGTTTACAGTCTGTGACTAAAGTGAATTCTCGACCATATATGTACTCATGAAACTTAGTAACTGCAAAAATAACAGCCAACCCCTCCCTACATATCTGTGCATAGTTCTTTTCTGGCGCGGTGAGCGTGCGTGAAGCGTGCGCGACGGGCCGCTCGCACGCCGCGCCACCGCCGCGCCGCACCGGCGACTGCGCCGGCTGCGACAGCACCGCCGCCACCGCGAACGGAGATGCGTCACACGTGACCGAAATCGGCCGCGAAGGGTTAAAGTGCGCCAGCAATGACGAGTTTTTTAATGCATTCTTCACGCGCTCGAATGCAACATTACAAGAATTACTCCATTCGAATCTTTTACCTTTTTTTAATAATTGATATAAAGGGGAAAGTATATCACTCAGATTTCTCACGAATTTCCCATAATAATTTATCAATCCGAGAAACGCTTTTAACTCTTTTATATTGGTGGGGGTTGCTGTGTTGTTGATCGCATCAACTTTTGACGTTTCCGTGTGTAACCCGTCCGCATCGATTATGTGTCCTAAATACGATATGGACTTCTGAAAAAAACTACATTTCTCTGGAGCTACTCTTAATCCACACTCTGATAATATTTTAAAAACTTTCAATAACCGCATCCATAAATCCTGTCTATTTATACCACAGACAGTTAGGTCATCAATATAACAAGTTACGTAGGGCATCCTAAACAATTTTTCTATCAATCTTTGAAATTTATTTGGAGCGCACTTAATACCGAACGGTAGTCTATTAAAACAAAATATTCCCTGTTGTGTCACTATCGTGCACAACCTTTTTGAGGATTCATCTAACAAGATTTGTAGATACGCATTAGAAAGGTCAATTTTTGCGAATATTTCTCCCCCCTGTAATGTAGAAAATATATCCTCGATCCTGGGGATAGGATATTTATCGTCCATGAGAACCGGGTTCAAGGTAGTTTTAAAATCTCCGCATAATCGCACTTGTCCATTTTTTTTTAGTACGGGAACGACGGGCGTACCCCATTCGCTCCATTCTACTGGTGATATAATGCCTTCATGCTGAAGCCGCTGTAGCTCAGCATCAACAGCCGGGCGTAGCGCGTGCGGCACGGGCCGCGCTCGGTGCCACACCGCCTGCGCCCCTTCTACTAGTTCTAGCCTTATCTTGCACTTATTAAACGTACCTACACCCGATTTAAACACGTCCGGATACATTTTTTTAAAATTATATACAGCACTCTTTGTGTCTATGGGTACAGTAAATTGTGTATTATGCATAGTACTTACTGACAATATTTTAGGAAAAATAATACCAAAAGATCGCATCCAATCTCGACCGAATAAAGATGGACTGAATTCATTATCTATAACGACTAAGTTTAAATTTGATATTATATTATTTTTTATACGAACTGTACATTGAATCTTACCTTTCGGTTTCACGTTTTGCCCACTGTACATTCTTAAATTTGTCGTATATGTTTGTAACTTACAATCACTGAATAACGTCTTATACGTGCCATAAGAAATTATACTGACTGCAGAACCAGTATCGCCCTCCATTTTTAATGGCACATCATTTATGTGAACAGAAACGTTCCACTTCTCGTCTGAGTCGTAATCACTTAACTGATACACTGTCACGGGGGCCCCGTCCTCGGAGTCAGAACAATCTGACGAGGTGGCTGTCACTACCGCTCCACTAACCCCGTGAATAGATTTTTGTTTACGTTGGTTACACATTTTTGCTATATGCCCTTTTTTTCCGCACACATAACACTCACTATATAAAAACGAACACTTGTCTGACGCATGATTTCCATCGCAACGATGACACCTGTGCTGGGTGCGCTGCGGTACTCGATTACTACCGCGCGCTTGTCGCCGTGCTCCCCTTTGCCAGTCACGGCCGCTACCGGCGCCGGTACTGCGGCCGCTGACTGCATACACAGGTTCCTGGTCGGTGACACCGCTGCCGCCGCGACCACGCCCAGCTTCCGTAGCCGGTCCCGAGTCTCGTTCCATCGTCTCCAACGATAGTGCCAATTCAGAGGCACGAGTAAATGTGAGGTCCTCGTCCTTCTCTGTTAACAGGCGTTGCCGTGTACGATCGCTGAGAAGTCCATAAACGAATTGATCACGCAGATTCTCTTTTAATTTGTCGGTAGAAGAAAATTTACACGCCTTACTTAATTTCTTCAATTTTACAAGATAATCGCTTATTGACTGTCCCTCTGTTTGTTTGCATGATCTAAATATAATTCGTTCAGCGATAATTGATCTCTTTGGAGATAAATGTTCGTCAACGAGCGATTCGATTTTTTCAATTGACACGTTTTCAGGTTTTTCCGGATAACATAAGTCGATTATAAGGTCCAAGGCTTCGGTGCCAACCACGGCCATCAAGTATTTAGATTGGTCTGCAATTTTCACATCATTAATTACGAACCACGCCCTAAGTCGACTCATGTAGGTGGGCCACCGATCCACATGTATTTGGAATTCTTTCAAGTAGCCAATATCCTTCGATTTTTTTTCACTCATTATGTCACAACTAATAATATCAATGAACAATTTATATAATAATTTGGGTTCCCTCGTCGCCAAATGGTATATATTATATTATAGTGCACAACTGTTAACTAGGATGTTATAATGACAAGACACTTTACGAGACTGATTCTTTATTATATTGACGGTGAACATAAAATATTAATAACAATGTACCCACATATATGCCACTTTCCGCTTCATCTAACATTACACACGCCGCTTTCTATTACATTCCATTTATTAAAATTGTTCAATTGTTAGAAGGTAAATTAGAAAGTTCGGCAAATCGCTTAGACGTGTTATATTTGTAAATATAGTTAATCAAAAATGAAAGCATAATTAAAATCAACGTTTATTCATAATACTATTTACAATTAAAAAATAAAACTAAACAAATTATTATTCAATAAATTTACATTAATTATGAAACAAAAAAATATTCAATAAAAATACGTTACTTAATCAACTATTAGTAATATCACTGTGTTAAATGTAAATTCTGAAGAGATCCATATAAATTATAAAATAATCAATTAGTAAAAAATACGTAAAAACCTTTACTGAAGATACATTATAGGCAAAAGAGTTCGATATATAATATCTATCTATTAAAACAGATATAACATTCATAAAATTATTGAAATTCAATAGAAAAAAGGCATAGCAGAATATTAACAAGCTATCTAAACAATTATGAAACATCAGCCTTTTATTCCTATTATGAGGTACGCAGTTCCATTTATCTTTAATTTTATTGCAATATCGAAAGAGCTATCTAAATAGATTGTTCTAGGAATTACTTTGTATATTCGTTAAACTATAGTGAAGTAATGTGTGACCGGTGCGGCGCTGTTCTCCATAGTCTTCTGTATACTCAACTGCTGAACTATTGCTTCGGGAGTCTCCACCTGCTGCAATTAAAAACGTGTATTAATTAAAAATCTAAATCCATATCAAAAGTATAAATGTGAAAGTTGTGTTTGTTTGGTTGTTACTTTTTCACGACTAACCGGGTGAACGTATTTAAATGAAATTTACTATGAAGATTAACTGGTATTTATACTGGTAATTCTAAACTCTACAGCTCTATCTTTTATCCTACTAAATAATATGGTAACGGGTGAAATACGGAATTGAATGTGTGCAGATAAATTTGCTATTCATATAATTATGTTGTTTTTCAAGTTCCACTATTTTCATCTATACATATAAATAAAATTGAAGTGTCTGTTTGTTATATTGAAATAACCGTCTTTTACTACATGCATATAAATACAAATATGGTACATACACCAAAATAACATTTTTTACAATTTTTGTCTGTCTGTCGGTCTGTTTGTTCCGGCTAATCTCTGAAATGGCTGAACCGATTTTGACGGGATTTCTTTTGGTAGGTAGCTAATGTAATAAGGAGTAACTTACGCTACTTTAATTTAAGAAAAAAAATATTTATTAGAAAAATAAAGTTAAATTCCACGCGGACGAAGTCGCAGGAACAGAAGCTAGTAATGATTAAAATCCAAATTTGTATAATATCACTTGGTATCCTAATTTCTATGCCAGCTTTGGTGTTCATGAGTATGGCTTTGGAATTAGAGACGACCTTCTTACCTCAACCTCTTCGTCCTCGAAACCGTTTATCTCTACGGGAATAGTCTGGCCATCTTGTGTCACGACCTAGAAGCAAAAATATATTGTTATACTTACATATACTACTATACTATATTTATAAAGGGGTAAAGTATGTAAAGTTTGTGGATCTACTGAACTGATTAAGAAAATTCTTCTTCGTGTAGTGTAACCTAGATTAAAATTAGATTATTACTTTATTATAATAAAAGTAAAATATATAAAAAAATCGTTATTAAGATGGCCTCTAATACACGTTTTACAAAGCAATCTTTTTTGGCGGCTAAATAGATGAAACAGGTACGCAAGCAGAGCATATAAAAGTCTACCACGTGTATTTTTAAAAACTACTCCACGATGCTCTTACAGTGTTTATACAAAGTAATTCATATGATTTGAAAAATTGCCTATTAAAAAATATAATTTATAATTCGCCAACGTATATACGACGACAACCTTTCGTAAATACATGACAAGTGACGTGGGAAATTAGGCAACATCGCGATTTCTTCATTCTTAGTTAGTGTCAGTGTTAGTGTATTGTGGTAATATGCCTTATATAGATTATACAAACACATGCCTGTAATGATTTGCCGTCTACGGAGGTGATGGCGAGTTGAGTGCCGTCCTGCATCGTGAAGTGCAGCGGGTTTCCTTGCTCGTCCGTTACCTGCAAATATTAGAACTGATTATAAATAAAAAAATATAATATAGTTATAGATTCATATACATCGTAGCATCTAGAATCTCATTATAATTAATATTATAAACGTGGATATTTGTTAGTTGGAATGGATGTTTATTACTCTTTCATGCAAAAACTATGAATGTGTTTTAATGAAACTACAATAATTAAGCTTATACATCAGAATAACTTGTTAATTTCAAAAATTTTAATAAATTAGTTCCCTTTCTACTCGATTCCCGTCACATTCCATTAATGTGTGCTGAACATTTTCGATTATTTTACTCAACACAAATGGAGTGAATTTTCTTTTTCTTTATTATATTGTTAGCTGTAACTTCCACTTGAGGCGCCACTGTCGTGCAACGCGGCTATATAAGACTGCGAAACCCGGCGTGTAGCCAATTTTAGTCGACAAACATGCTCTCGAACGTATCTCGAACGCTCTTTCTTTTAATTAAATTTAGAGATCATTACTAACAATATACTTACAGCTATATGTTCATCCTTCACGATCCCTTCCTGTTTGTGCACGAACTGATCTAGGGCAGGTTCGTTCACGAGTTCGGCCTGTTGTTCCAGATCCGAGTGCTGTACCAGCAGCGACGTGCCCGAGTACAGATCGCATGTCGTTAACATTTTGCCGTTGTTCAAACTCGCCGCCTGTAATCATGCAAATATACTTAATTGTTGTAATAAATATTTAATAGTGTAATTAAATATTTTAGATCATATGCATATATACGCATATAAAACGTCGCTGGTTACTAATATACGATAAAAAGAATAAAAAGGATACCAAGATCGCGAGAATTTCTCATTATGACTGGGAATAAAAGGCCTTTTTTGGATTTTTTAATATGATCACTTATAAGATTTTATAATATCATGTCCAGTTTACGAATAATATAGCGAGAGTGTGACAACATTTTCGTTTCCATTGTGTGACAGTAATTGAGTCCCCATGCGGGGTGGTTTATACCCAAAAGATCGGAAGTTTAAATCTGTCCAAGACAAAAATAACTTTCTTTTAACTTTAACTATCTGATTATGTGAGAAGCAAAGCGGTGCACTCAACCGCTAATCACCGAAAACATATACAATTGTTACAAAATTTAAAAAATAATTTAGTGAGATAATTTTGTTTCCATCTTGTATTGTATGAGGGTATACAAATGTATGTATGAAGTGACGTCACCTGTTCGGGCTCCAGTATGTGGTAGGCGGGAGAGTGCGGCGCGTCCACGTCGTACGTGACGTAGATGACGCGCTCCTGCAGCTCGGGCTCCGCCCCCGGGGGCGGCTCCACGCCGGGCGCCGCCACCGCCGGGGGCCTGTTGCCGTTCACCAGCAGACTCATTTGTTTATGCACTTGCTGTCATATACGAATAACAATAATTTATTGCATTTATTTGTGGTCAATCGTTGGGCTACTGAAAGTACCTAGCATAAAATACGGTTAATTTTTTTTGATAGATAGATAAAAAGCTTTATTTTTCAAATTTTACATATTATTATTCTACTATCCTGCAAAACTCCTGTCGGGGTTTGTCTGCAGGCACGTAGTTCTCTCTTATCTACTTACAATAGGTACATGCTTATATGTTATTTTAGATAGTATTTTAACGTACACATAAACTAAACTAACTAACTAATTAACCGTTTAGAACAAAAAAAAACATATTTAACAGCTCGGTTAATTTTTTTAATAGTCAGCTTCTCATCTATAGATTTGACACAGGGAACGCGTACCTTCTTGTGCTTGTTGAGGTTGGAGCAGTCGGCGAAGGCCCGCGGGCAGTGCGGGCAGCGGTAGGGCCGCTCGCCCGTGTGTCGCCGCAGGTGCTTGGCCAGCGCCCACCGCTCCGAGAACGAGCGCCCGCACTCGCCGCACTCGTGTCGCCGCGCCGCACTCGCTCCACTACTGGCGCCAGTACTCGCACCGGACACCGCGCCGGCCGCCGCCTCGCGCCGCTGCACGGGCGACGCCGACTGCGGCGGGAACCTGTTATTTCATTTACACATACACATGCTAATATAATATAAAACACATAAATCCATTACGTAATGCATTTATCATTATTAAATTAAGTAACTGTTATTCTATAAATTTCAACATTACTTTGTGGACACCTATAGTCACGGTGTAAAAGCTGAAGCAACAAGTTATGAGGTTATCGTCGGTGGGTGCGAGGACCGGAGATTGCCGTGGGTATTTCACATGTGAGATTACTGTCGCTACCTGCGTGGAGTGGAGACTGGCGTAGTTGTAAGGAGAGAAGGTTATCCTGGTAGCTGCGAGGGGCGGAGTCCACCGTGGGTATGAAAAGCAGAGGCTGCTGGTGGGTACGAGAAGAAGAGGTTACCGCCAGTGTGTACGGCTGCTGTCGGTGTGAGTAGATGAGGGAATTGCCGGTAGCTGTGAGGTGCGGAAACTGGTATGGTGAATAAAAGAGGTTACCGGTGGTCGGTTCGAGGAGCAGAAAATGCCGTAAGTGTGAGGAGAAGAAGTTACCGTCAATTGGTGCGAGGAGCTGTAGTCGCAGTGACTGTGATGTAGGGTTCATTCCCGGGAATTCTCGGGTCGAGAATTCCCGGGAAATCGTTGGGTTTTGTTCCCGGGAAATCAAGCTCGAGAAAAGTCGAGAACTCGAGAAATCAATTACCTATATAGAAATTAAATTGCCGTTTGTTGTATTGCGTGGCGGCGCAATAATACAAGATATTAAGGTTTTCTTTCATGTATTTTTTTTTGTTTTACAGAAACTATTTTTGTTTACAAGTTTAAGGTAGATTTTTTCTAAATAACCAGCCAAAAATGGTGCTGTCATTATAAATATAAGTCTGAATAATATTAGGTCCTAACATATGAAAGTGGTATTTTGTAAGGGAGTAACCTGAAGTATTTTTTTTCAAAATATAACATGTTTATTTAATCAAACTTCATTCCATTCTTAATTTTAAACTTTCGTGTTTAATATACATTATTTAAATTATTAACCGGGTCTTAAGAAGCTATCAACCGAAATAAAATACCATATAATGACGCGGAATCACTGAGACAGGACGTAGCAAATATCTTAAGGAAGACAAAGCTGCCAAAAAGTAACGATACAGCCGAAGAACGATATGCACTGAAATGTATTCATGAAAATGAGAATATCCTGGTACTCAAGGTCGACAAGGTAATGCTACCGTAGTAATGAACACTTCTGATTATGATAGTAAGATACGTGTTCTATTATGAGATACTAGTGTATACAAACGTGTATCCTACAATCCAACGGCCAGAGTGACACGTCGAACACGAGCACTTATTCAAGAACACCGTAACATTTTCACTGAAGAGGAATATAATAGTCTTTATAGGGCCAAACATATTCAACCACCAAAATTATATGGCTCACCCAAAATACACAAAAAGAACGCCCCTGTTCGACCAATAGTTAGTCAGATCCATTCACCAATTTATGATCTGGCTAAACATGTTGCGAAGATCCTGCAGCCACTAGTGGGTAAGTCGTCCTCTTTTGTGAAAAATTCTCAGCATTTCACGGACATACTAAAAAGCACAAAACTGAAACCTACAGAGATAATGGTGAGTTTTGACGTTGAATCATTATTCACCAATGTTCCAGTGAATGAGTGCATGGAGGTGGTCAAGGATAGGCTATTGGAGAAAGACCTGCCATCACAGTATAGTATATTTCTGAAACATTGCTTAGATGCAGGCTATTTTCTGTACCAAGGTGAATACTACCTTCAAATAGATGGCGTTGCAATGGGGAGCCCAGTGGCACCATTAGTAGCTAATATTTGGATGGAGCACATTGAGACAAAGATTCTTGCTCTCAGACCATTAGAAATTAGCCTGTGGAAAAGATATGTAGATGATGTTTTTTGCATATTTAATGGTACACAACAACAAGCAGACGAATACCTAAAATACCTAAATTCCATATTCTAAAACCAAATTTATAATGGAATTGGAGAAAGATAGGTCCTTGACCTTCCTGGACATCCTAGTTATGATGAGATCTGATGGCTCGGTTACACACACAGTATACCGGAAACCAACACACACAGATAGATACCTACATGCCTCCTCACATCATTACCCACGACATTTACAATCAGAGTGTCACTACTCTCACAAACAGAGCGCAAGATCTCTGTGCCCCTGAATTTGTGGAACAAGAACTATCCCACGTTCAAGAAGTACTCAAGAGAAACGGTTACATAATGAGTAGAAGGCAAAATAAGCGCGTAACAAAAGCTAAAAAACCAGAAGTGAACAGACAGCCAGCGTACATGACTTACTTAAGAGGAATAACGGACAAAATTGGAACAGCACTAAATAAATACTCCATTAAGACTGTATATTATCCGCCCCCAAAAGTAACGAACAATTTACGTATAGGATAAGGATAAGACCTACCGAAGCTCCAGGTGTCTACAAAATTGACTATAGTTGTGGTAGCTCTTGTATTGGCCAAACAAAACGATCAATAGCCGAGAGAGTCAAAGAGCACATCGCAGCGGTTAAAAATTGACAACCACACAAATCAGCGATTGCCGATAGTCTACTGAACGCTGGAACAAATCACTGGATTGAACTATATGCGCCTAAGGTCCTCTCTACTGATCGCCACTATTACCCACGAATGGTCCGGGAGGCGATTGAAATTAAAAAACATCCCAATTTCAACAGAGAGGATGGCTTAAAATTATCATCTGCGTGGAATCCAGTCATAAATAAATTCAAGCAAAGTTCGGTAGCATCAATAGTCAATAAGTGTACGGATACCGTGAGTGCTGTGTGTTGCGAACTTTCGTTAAACAATCTAGTGACGGTAGATGAAGAAAAAACTGCTGTCACCTATCTACATTGACATCGCTGTTACTCCAGTCAGCTCGTGACCACGGCTAGTGCAATCTAGTCGAAACGTCGAGAGAGGTAAATACCTTTATTTGCCATAAAATTATTCGTGTTAAGACCCGGTTATTAATTTAAATAATGTATGTACCATTGCTATTTATGCACTTTTGCCATCTCATAGGTACTTCATTGATCCCTTTACTGAAAAAAACATTTGAACGGGAACATTTGGAAATATCAATAAATTCTTTGGACTTTGGACTGCCCCATCGGATTTGAATTTTTTCCCAATCAGTTATCCAAATTTCGAAAAAAATGGTAATCTGTTGGAGCAAGATCCGGGGAGCAATTGTAAAGTCTTAGACATTACAATTGAATCTCTTCTAATTTGGTAAATGTCAGTTGTGCAGTGTGTGGTCTAGCGTTGTCCTGAAGCAGCAGTAGCCTACGGCGATTGACCAGCCTCGGTTGTTTAGCAGCTAGCTTTACCATTATGGTTTCTCAATTGCTGACAACACACATCTGCCGTAATCATCTGGCCAGATTTAAGAAAGCTGAAGTGAACAACACCGGAACTAGTCCACTAAACGCTCGCAAGTAACTTTTTTTTGGGTCAATTTGCGCTTGGGGCAGGATTTGGTTGGTTTGCCCCTAGCAAACCAACCAGCCATTGCGATGAGCGTTTCCAATTATCATACAAGATCCACATCACCACAGGTAATGATTCGATTTAAAATCAGCAGTCTGTGCGCGTTTGTCGATCGAATCGCGAATTGTCTACTCAATTCATGAGGGACCCATCTTTTAAGCTTTTTCGCCCTCCCAATTTGCTACAAGTGGATTAATACAGTTTTGTCACTAACACCGCAACCTGAAACTAACTCTGACGTGGTTTGCGATGGATCTGCTATCATAATTACCAACCTTGGACTCCAGCCGTCCACGGGGATTGTTTTGCAGGTCGAAATTTCCAGAACGAAAACGTTGCAACCAAAATTGCATTGTGTTTTCTTTTGCGACACCACCACCATACACATCATTAATCCTTCGAGCCGTTTCTGCAGCACTAGTGCCATGGCGAAACTCGTACTTGTACTTGTCAATGATGCGATATTTTAAGTTTTCCATTTTGTAAGCTGAGTGACCCACAGAAAAAACCAAGCACATGTATTACGGTTTTCGAAAAACAAATGCATGGGTGAATAGCCGTATAAATTTGAAATTGAAATTTCTAACCAAAGAGGAGATATTTAAGATCAAAGTGGCCAGTACGACAAAATGCTAATTTCATATGTAAGAACCTAATATATTTCAATATTTAAAAATGGCTTATTCATAATATGTATAATGTTTTTAAATATACCTACTTAATAAAAATTTTATTATTAATTTTATAGTTAAATTTTATATTTAATATTTAACAAAAAATGCAGTGGTTTTTGTCTCAAATGAAACCACTGAGATTTTTGACGTTATTGGAACAAAAAATAAACCAAACGTACGTAAATGTAAATTTCTCGACAACCCGAGAAGACCCGAGAAATTAACCTCGAGAATTCTCGAGACCCGAGAAATTGAAAAGCTCGAGAAATCATGAACCCTACTGTGATGTTACCGGCGGCGGGTGTAAGGGGAGGTGGTTACCGGCGGCGGGTGTGAGGGGAGGTGGTTACCGGCGGCGGGTGTAAGGGGAGGTGGTTACCGGCGGCGGGTGTGAGGGGAGGTGGTTACCGGCGGCGGGTGTAAGGGGAGGTGGTTACCGGCGGCGGGTGTAAGGGGAGGTGGTTACCGCTGGTGGTTGCGGCCGAGCGTGACGTGTCGGCGCGCGTGGAGGCGGTGCTGCGAGGAGGTGGTGAACCGCCGCGGACACAGCGAGCACGCGTACGGTTTCTCCCCCGTGTGGATGCGCGCGTGCTCCGACAGGTTGCCCTTCTGACTGAAACTCTTGCCGCAGACGCTGCACGTGAACGGTTTTTGCCCTGTTTGCGAAAAATTTATAATAAGTCATAAGTTGTGTAAAATAAATAAAAAGATACACATAATCAAAGCGATATATAGAAGAAGTGGTATTCATGGCCACGTATGCATATACCGCTACTATGCTTAGTGTATCATTTACCTGTATGCCATCTCATATGCAGTGTGAGACTAGTTTTGTGTGCAAAGCGTTGCTTGCATATTTCGCAAGCAAACTTCTTGATGCCAGAATGTAGAAGTTGATGGTTGACTAAATTCGCTTTCGTCTTAAACGACGCTGGGCACACCTGTAAATAGTAAGTATAAAGTTTAACATTTTATAATTATAGTCTTAATATTGATAACATTATCTGCTCTATTATTATTCGGCAAAAATCATCCATATTGTTGAACATAGTGTAATATAAATTAAAACGATTATTTAAAAGAGCAACACGCAAATTGTTGCTTGTTTTCCTTGTAATGAGACAGTAAATAACTTTCCGAATGAGTGGTACATTAAAAGAAGGATAACTGTGACTATACGAAAGTGCTTAAATTAAATTTATTTGAATAAAGGATTTTCTATTCTATACTATAAACAAAAAACTAGTGTTTGTATGATTACTTTCTATTGATATGTATTTCCAGTTGGTTCAATTCCTACATCAAGTATGATTTGTTGCTTGTATTAATAAATGGTCCTGAACACTGCGGTTTCAGAGGAGATTCCTCCCGCGTACACTTAGATTGTGGAATGAACTTCCTACCGAGGTTTTCCCACGAGACTACAGCATGGGGTTTTTCAAGAAGGGTATATTAAGGTTTCTTAAGGGTCGGCAACGCGCACGTGATACCCCTGGTATTTCAGGCGTTCATAGGCTACGGTAACCGTTTACCATCAGATGGGCCGTATGCTTGATTGCCACCATCATAGTATAAGAAAAAAAAATATATAATTACACAGTATATAGTACATACTTTGCAGGTGAAGGGCCGCAGCTGCGAGTGCACAAGCTGGTGTCGTTGCAGCAGCTGCTTGTGCTTGAAGCACTTGCCGCACTTGTTGCACACGTACCGCTGGCCCGCGTGCTCAGCCTCCTTGTGGTACACCACCGACGACGGGTGGTTCAGAACCTATTTTTAGAAATCATTAATATAGTCCTTACTAATATTACAAATGCGAAAGTAATTCTCGCCTGTCTGCCTGTGCGCGACTTTCATGCCAAAACTAGTGGAACGATTCAAATAAAACTTGGTACACAGCTAGTCTAGAGGCTGAGAAAGGACATAAGTTACTTCTTCTTTCCTTGTAAAGAGAGACGCTTACGAGCTAATATAAAACTAAAATCTAATAAGTATATTTTCTTAAAAACACAATTTGTAGAGACAATATATATAAGAAAATTTCCAAAATTGATATTTAATGAGAAATAGTGTGCGTAAGTGTGCGTGTTTGACTGTGTGGTTGTGTAAGTGTGATCGTGTGGAGTTGTGTGTATGTACCTTCCCGCAGAGGTCGCAGGCATATCCACGCGCGGCGCGAGTCTTGCGGTGCGAGACTGCGTGGAGTGCGAGCGAGCGCGGGTACGCGAACCGAGCTCCGCACTCGCCGCACTCGTGAGGACGGTCGCCTTGATGCGTTGCCTGCCGATACAATGCACACTTCACACTATACCTATACCACCTCTACATAGTATAAAATGAAGTAATTCCTGTATGAATTGAATGTATATACCTACACAAACAGCACTACTCACGTTATCATGTAACGCTCGAGATAACATTAAAGGCACACCACACTCGTCGTGAGAGTAACAATTTATGTCTATATATACCTTTACCTGGGCATTATTGCGCTTCTGAAAGGATCTTGGATGGCCAATTTAGTAGTCTCGGCTACTACTACATACAAAACGGCCTAGATGAGAGGCTAAATGCGGATAAAGTACGATTTACATTACATTACCTTTATATGTAAAGATTTGCTCTGTTTAGAAGCGAATGTCTTATCGCAGTGGTTACACTTGATCCTAGGTTTCACGTCTGGCAAAATAGTGTCAGGTTCCTCTTGCCCGAGAGGAATCTCCTCGAGGACGATGGCATCTATAAAACAAAACAGCATACAATAAATACACACGCACAATACAGGCACAATACACAAAACTATGCCGGGGTCCCTAGGCAACACAAATCTCAGGGTTGCCCGCTCTTTTAATTCTATACTTACATTTAAAAGAGCTGAAGATCTTCAAACGGCTACCTATTGTTAATATTTTTGTTTAAATAGCAAGGATGGGTCTGAGTATAAATTAAAAGTTTATTTATCCTAAAACACGTAACATTCATATTCTCAGTCGCAAAAAAATAGATACGTCGAAAAAAGCAATAACACAGGTATTACTTTGCTTTTTTTCGTCGAAGGTATATAATTTCATTGAGAATTCAATTTTTCTAATTAATTTTGAGTCGGCCATAGTAACATTTTCAATTACTTTTAACTTTGACAGTTACCTTATATATAAAAAAAAACTATATTTAAGTATGTGTATAAATTGTTTAGTACCCATATTACTAATTCTGATTTATTTGTACACATGTGTTATTTATTCATTAAAATTATTGTATAATGAGAAACTATAAACATATACAGACTTACTTTCATCAACTTCTTCATTTTTTCCCGTGGACTCTGGTTTTAATTCTATAGTTAGAGATGGATCTGTGGTATTATCTGGTAGAAGTGGATTCAGGTCAGGTAAACTATTGCTATTCATTACATTGTCTATCACTTTCTCAACTGACGCCAGGTCATTTGAATCTGTAGTTGGTTCTGGAGTCGTTGTTTCGATCTTGGTTTGATTTTGGAGACTCTATAAACATATTATATAGTTAGATATAGTATACGATATCAATAATTCTATAATTATGTCTTTGCCCAATAGTGAGATGTCGGCAATTAATAATTGATTATTACAAAAAGGCGCTAAAGCACACACGATTGAAGTATGCCGGACAACGAGAGCTGGCGAGGTGCACGGTCTTTCTCGTTCTCTTAGGATACATTTACATGACATTAATTCCTGCATGAAAACCATCAGCTATATTATATATGTGCATTTCATAAAAATAAACGAAACAACCCTAAAACAACATAAACGAAAATCCACACATTGACTTTATTGCTGTGGTAATTTAATTTCCCTTTTTAAGTTACATACAGAACATAATGCATAACGTATAATTAATTAACAGCGAGTACACATGAACGGATACTACTTTTTACGTGCTCATTCATTCATACTTTAAGAGCGACGCTCTTCTCGGTAGAGCTCTTGTCACTTTCTACGATCCATCATACTCTTTAAACCTTTTTACGATAGCACTCCAGGAATTCTGTCTTTTACGTGCTATTATTACAAATAAGAGATTGAAAAAGTACTTTACAATTTGTTTTGCTTTGTGAAAAAACATATATTTGCAAAACTGAGAATGGTCCTGGAAAAAAAATAAAAAAGTATGTTACTTGTTGGTTGGGCGGACGGGTGTGCTGTGCAACGTGCGCCATGTACCGACCAGCGCACGAGAACGACGCGCCGCACTGCGCGCACACAGACTCGCGCACCTGCATTGTGCTACCTGCAAAATTTTTATCTCTTTATTTTTATTGATTTTTACTCTTATATACTTAGAAATGCCAAAGAAATCCTTTGGTTTTGATTTCATTTAACCTACTTAAAAAAACAAATCTCCAAAAATTACGTAACAATGTGAATTTATGTAACAGAGCGGACTATGGTTGTTAGTAACATGGACTGATCACCCCATTACTAACAATGTACCACATCAGGTTGACGTCCATGTGGTACTCTATCTTGATAAATATCTGGTGAATTTGCCACGATGGGCCAACAGAGGTCAGATCCTCATGCTCATCTTATCATCTTCCACTAGTGCTCCGCCAGCGTATACCGTTAGCGCAGGCGGGTGCGCCGTTTTATTATCAACCATTAAAATATATATATAATATATGTGTGTGTAACACACACATATATATTTATGCTGAAACTATTTTTATTACTCCATAAAATTATGTAACAAAAATTTATTACATATTTTTGATTGCAATAAAACATAACATGGTTTTAACACCATAACACTATAGAAAATTCAACGTACCTTTAGGTCGACCGCGTCCTTTGCCCTTGACAACCACAACTAACTCTCCAGAGTTCTCCATGTGACCAATAACCTCTGGTTCCTTTGGTACTGGATATTTTTGCTCAATATTTATATCAGGTTTATTGTCATTCTCACTGTCTTCCTCATCAATCACCCCTTCTTCTATGAATATTCTTTCTAATTCTTTGCCCTGAAATTTAAAATAACACTTCATTATAATTTATTAATTGAAACCAATGACAAACTTGTTTTCTTTTATTTTATGGACTATAATACAGGGTTGGATTTAAAAAAAATAAGTCAGAACAAATAAGTTCAGCTGAAAAATTGATAATTAATACATTGGTTATTTATATGGAAACCGATATTTACGATTTAGCACAATTTAGTAGATGGCATTCATGATGGACCTACCACACCATATTCGAAAACATAATCTCTACGAGTTTGATAATTGTTTATTAAAAATTGTAAAAAAATCTAATATAGGCGATACGAAGGTCATGGAGTTTCTAATAGGACATAAAATGTGTTTTTTATATAAGTATTTTTTTATTAATATCAACATTTTAATAGAATAGAATGAACTGGTATTAGGAGTAATGATATGGTATTAAATTATTATACCTGGACAGCTTCTTTGAATCTCGTTGGAGTTTTTCTTTGTCTCTTCCCCGGTGTAGGTTCTTCTTTCAATACGATTGTTGCATCAAACTTTTGGAATGCCATAGGCTCTTCATCTCCAAAATCTTCAGTGTTTTTCTTCTTGGGCGGCCGTCCCCGTTTACGTTTCGGTTTCTCCAATCCAGCGATTTGTAACGCAATTGGATGTTCCACGTGATATATTCCATTGCTTGTGTTTACTACAAATTTATTTGATACTATATTCCATTTTATAGATTACAGAGTGGGTGGCAGCCATACTTTTCAATAAATATTAGGTCAAATAATGACTTTTAGTTTGATTTGGGTTCAAAAACCTACACAAAATAGACATATTTAACAGTACAGAGCTCTAAAATGTTAACTATTGCGGCACTTTGCTATAAAGCGCGGAATATAAACAAAATAAAGAATTATTAATTGCTTTCCTTGCTTCTGTTCAGCAAACAGGTTTAGGAGAAAAGTGCAGTTTGATATAGTTACATATTAATATAGCAAAGTTACAGATTTTTTTATATAACATAATGATGGCAATCAATCACATGATCCATCTGATGGTAATGGTTACAGTAGTCTATGGATGCTTGAAACACCAGGGGTGCGTATTATCAACCCGTAAGAACCCTTAATAATATTATAATAATAACATTATTATATAAAAATATATGTGTGAATTAAGGACACAGTGCCATCTAATCCCAAGCTATGGAGAGCTTGTGTTATGGGTACTAGACAATTATAGATATACTAATATTCATTCTTTGTAAATACATACAAATTATAAAAAGAAAACTCCCAGGCAGATACAATCATACTCATAACTACAAATGTTTGTACCATGGTAGGAATAAATCTGCAACCAACGGAAGTAAACCACTAAAGCTGTCAAACTACTTTCAATATGCCATATTATTACTTGTTATAATGCAGCAGATTGGTAGCTGGTATACAGCAAACATGTTCCATTTTTGTGTCTATGACAATGAAAGAATGTAGACTCATAATCTTTCTTATGGTTACAAACATTTTTTATTCATATACTTAGTTTTAATAAAAACACTATTGAATGGTGTTTTTTGGTATTCTACCACATACAGAAGCCCTGTTTTAACAGTAAGGCTTACTATACTCATACTCACTTTCATATACAATATTTTCAGTAATAAATCCAGTTTCTTTGATGGCATTACCACAAGACTTCTTATAATCTTTCTCTCTCTGGTATAGTTCTCGAAGTATTTTCTGGAAATAAATATGATTTCTTTTGGTAATATGACCAAACTTTAAAAATGTATGTTTTGTAGACAATGATACAGGTGTTTTTATTGTTATGGGCCTGCCAAGAAACCAGAACTCATCTGGAGTTTCCCTGGTTTTTTCAATTTTACAGCACTACATAAACAATGTCTGTAATGGCTAAAGAAAACCTTTTTATATTTACATCTATAGATTTACAGCTTAGGGGACCAAACTTTATATTACCTGTCCTTTTGTGATGAGATTCAAGAACTCTACAGTTGCTTCTAACTGTATTGTACATCCTGGGCAAATAGTTCTGGGTAACTGACCATCATCCGATACCTATAATAATACAACATTTAAATTATAATTTAAATAGGTAGGTATTGTTTATAGACAGCAATTGTGTGGTTATAAGTACTTTGTTTTTCTCATATTTTTACCTTCTACAACAAGGTCTTCATGTAAGATATTGCTTAGCGACAAGACCACCTTTTGTATAAGTGTTACTGTACCATATTTTTGTTCTGTTATATTTTTACTGTGTTACTGTATTTTTGTTTCTAATAATTAACATTTATCTTTATTTGATGCAATAAAATGTATAAATAAAGATTCTGTTTCAGACTATCCTTAGATTGCATTTCTGGTATCCTACTTATTTCTCCTGCCTTCCCTTTAACCTATTCACAGTAGGAGGTAGTGGATGTTTATCACAATGAAATCCAAGCTAAGTTCTGGACTTAATTTATCTTGTTAATGACTCTAACATTTTAAAATTAGAATCATTTTATGATTCCTAACTTAATTCTTCTATTCTAAAATTAGAGTCATTTAATGATTCCTAATTAAAATTAATTCCTAAATTAATTTACAAACAATAAATCTGATTATACCCATAAGGCTGATGGCAGATGGAGAGATAAAATAAAAAATAATACACAAAGTTCCTTAATTCATTGTAGTTTAGCATAGAACAGTCTATCTTGGCTCTCATAATTGATGTATGTAATATGGGAAGATTTGAAAGTCATATATTACTACCATACAAAATTTAATTGGCCTAATATACATTTTGTATGGCATACACATAGTATTAGTTTTTAAGTTAATAGAGACTTTTTACTATTGATGGCTATTATGAGCTTTTGAATTATATTTAAAAGATCTAAGGTAATCAGCAGATAATTGAAATTTGGAAGGAGGAGGACACACACTAAGTGAACTAAGAACGCAATAGGTATTTTTTGATATTTTCAACATTGAGTAGTACCTTTATCTGAATAAGCGAAAAGATACAAAATGATGATTACGAGATTTTATAAAATTTTAATATTGATATATTTACATATAGTTTTTTATTATGTTGACGAAAATTACCTTGTCTTAATGGACAGATGTAATGGCATTAATTCACCATACAATATATTGAAAATAATTTTGTTGTTTTACTAACATTAGAAAAGCTATCAGCTGATAATTATTATGGTTTCTCCTACTCTCAACATGTCAAATAGTGGCGCGAGTATTTATCAACAATAATTTATGGTTCACACACAATATTATTTAATATGAAGAACCGATATCGGTACAATGTACTAATAAATAATAAGTTTGACAATATAATATAATTTTATTTGATTAATAATATTTGTCAGTTTTAAACAATACATAATAAAGATATGAAAATGTTTTATAGAATAGGAATCCGAGAAGTCCGCCATGTTACATTTTACGTCGAATGTCGAGTCAAAACAGTCACAATAAAATAAAAACTTACCTTGACTGGCAAATAACTATTAATAATGTCCCCTAAGGTTTGATTATTTACATCACTAGAATATAATAAAGACCCATTATCATTTTCTTCTCCGCATAATCTACAAACCGTAGAATTATACAATACCACTTCCATCTTTGTCATAAATAAAACGCCACCTATTTCCTTCCATTTTTGGTTTTGTTTCCATCTAACGTTTCGTTACTGTTTAAAAAATATTGAAGAAAATTATTTGTACTATTATTGTATCTATAAAATTGTACTACTAAAAGTATTATCATACTATTAAAATTGTACTTTTACATACTTGTGTTTATAAATTATATTATTATTGGAATTCTCAATTTATTTTTTACAAATATATGAAATAATCATAACTTACGTTTATAGGTGCGAATTGTTAGGGAATTTAGAATTATTTTTAATGTCAGATAAAAATATTATACGGCAACAAAACAAATTAAAAACATGTTCTGTATAAATTCCTTATCGTATGTCTTATAGATATAAAATAGAAGCGCAGTGAATTATACCATTATTAGTAGATAACTTTTTTCATATATTGAAAGTATATCAATGATCAGTGGATAAAAGATGGACTAAATGAAACAGCAATAAATAAATTAGTCATACTATAGTGTTTAAATTATTTTTCTTATCACTGAAAGATGAGACTTTAATTTTTAAAATTTTAAATAAAATAAGAACTATATCATCTGATTTGCGTTTTGTTATATCATTCAATTTTATTTCCTAGCTGGCAACATTGATTACAACTTTCTTTCTTTGAACGGCCCTTTCCGGTTTAGTTCTTGGGCCTAGGAGCCGTAGTTTCGGTTTTTATTATTTTTAATCGCCTCTAATCCTACAAAATGAGAATCTATAAGGATATTATTACTGGTAATTGTGTTTATTGTGATATTAGAAATAGTTTCAAGGGAATATTTTATATATTATGTGTACCTTTGATATTAGTGATTTTGACACTTCATCTTCAGTGATGTCTCATAGTTTTTCGCAGAATTAAGTGCCACATCGCCTATCCAGATGGTCTACGAAGAATTGTTCCTCAATATGTATGTAACAAGTTTGTGTTTTAATTTCCAGGTGACGAAATGTTTTCGGACACATACAGAGTGAAACTTATCGACGAAGTTATATACGAAGTCACCGGTAAATTGGTAACGAGGCATCAGGATGATATTAAAATCGATGGGTTCAACCCTTCAGCGGAGGAAGCCGACGAGGGAACAGATAGTAATGTGCAAAGCGGCGTGGACATAGTGCTAAATCATAGGCTAGTGGAAACGTACGCCTTTGGAGACAAAAAATCCTACACGTTATACCTTAAGGATTACATGAAAAAGTAAGTGTCTGATGATTTCACATTTATATTAATTCAATTTTGTGTACTATTATGTTATTTTTATCCATGAGTGGTTATGTTGAGTCCTTTGAATTGAGTAGTTTGTTGGTTATATGCTTCTCAAGAAAAGTAGCAATCTGTACCATGTGTTCCATGTGTAGATCTTAATTGTGATCTCTACCATTGCTTTGCTTGTCGTTTCCACAAATTTAAAACATATTGAAAGCTGCAGACTTTATTTAAAGTTAGTATAATTAAAAAACTATAATAGATGCTAAATATATTAAATTATTGTATTCAGTTAGGTTCACAGTTTTTTTTTCTATTCCTGGCAATATAGGAATATCTATTAATGACCCACTTCAAAATATTTATAAATGAAAATATAATGTATCATAGGTTTTATTTACTCATTCATTTCATTCAAATGTGTTAGAATTAGTCCATGTGTTAATTTAGGATACATTTAAAAAAAATAGACATTGAAGTTGAATGTCATACAGCTACACAAACATATTTATGTTTTGTCTGATAAATATTATTATGAAACATAATCCTTTTTTTAATGATGGAATATACATAATATAATGACACCTACAACTTCTGACAACTCCATGTGAGTTGTTATGTATCTGCAGTTCCATCCAAAAATATGCCTAAGGTGATGGTTTAACCACTAGTGGTGTCTTTGGCATTTTGGCCTTGGCCTTCAGCCACTCCATAAGTTTTTTCACAGGTTTCAAGTGCCTTCTCAAAACACTAACCATAAGGTGATTTGTCAGTTTGCCAATCCAATTAATAGAAAAGAAATCTATAGATTAGTGCCATTTTTCTATTCATCTATAACTAAGCAAAGGGTTTTTTTAATGCATGATAATGGAATGGTATCAATTTGTCACATCATGATTTCCAGAGGTCCCACATGGGGGTCAACTTGTTCAAAGTGCATTGCAATCAATGGGGGGTTGTCAGTCCACATTACTAACAACCCCTTCCCCCAGTAATCAAGGGTTGAATCTGTTTATGATAGTAAATATTATGATAAACAATTATTATTCCTTATCTCATGTAAGATAATGGTCTTTATCAAGGTGTAGAGTGTGGATTAATGTCAAGGTCTTGGCTCTTAGCTAATAAAGATTGTCTATTTAGTGTGTCCATTATCAATACTTTGCATTAACTGCTAATTTTTAATAAATATCAATAAGTCAGCAATCTAGTATTCTAAAAGTTCACTTCTTAAGTAAAGATTAATATATGCTCATAAGTTTTACTTAAAAAGTGAACTTTCAAAAAAACTAGATTGTAAATCAAGCTATAGTATATTTTTAAAACTTTCTCTGAAAAATGTTATTGGTATTTGGAAACTAAGAAAACAAGTGGATTAAATTATAAGATTTGTATTTTCTATCTAACTTTTATAGTTTAATAGGATTTTATAGAAATTTATTATTTACATTTAGAAATATTGAAAATTGTTTGATATGGCTTTTTGACTTTGGTCAAAAAGCCATATCAAACAATTGATTATTGAGTTTAATTATACTTGATAGCCTCTGTGGTTTAGCAATATAGCACACCACTTTATTTCTAATAGTAGCAGATTAGACTCCTCCCATGATGCAACATTTGTATTCATGTGGGTGATTATTTGAATTTGTCTAGATATTTTCGTTGTATATTATGTTTGTATTTAGAGAAAATTCTATTGAAGTATTTCTATAAGTTACCTAGTACCCATAATACTCAGTCATAGCTTGACTTGGGAATTATATGGTGCTATGTGAATTGTCCAGATTATTATTATTACTTGTTATTGTACACATATATCTTAAATGTGACACAAGCTTTTTACATCCATCTATTTTTAATATGCTACATTTGTATGACAAAATGGAATGTATCAGCATCATCTAATACCACGGGCTGGTGTCCATTGTCAGTCTGTGGAGCTATTGATGCAATATTATATGGCTATAGTGAAAAAACATTCATTTCTATAATGTTTGTTCATGAAATGTAGCTGACATGCTTATTTATATTATAGGCAGTCTCTGAAGTTCATATTTGGCACTAATTAATAAATAATAATTGATATAAAACATAATTAAATAAAATCTGCATTAAAAAAGAAACAAATAACAACAAATAGACAAAGTAATACAGATTAGCTCTATATATCACCTAAATTTGACATTTTCTGCAACCCAGCAGCGTTACACACCAGCAGCGTAGCACACCAGCTTTGTTCCAATGGTGCAAGATTTTATTCCTTGCATGATAGAAACATTTGTGTTCATGAGTATGATTGTTTATATTTCTAACATTTTTCCCTACCAACCATTCTTTGTGAAAGCACAAAGCTATTGATTAAAGCATTTTGTAGCTAATTTGTTATATCTGTTAACTTTCAGATTAGTAGCAAAATTGGAAGAAAAGGCCCCCGACCAAGTGGATGTATTCAAGACTAATACCAATAAAGTAATGAAGGACATCCTTGGCAGGTTTAAGGAGTTACAGTTCTTCACCGGTGAATCCATGGACTGTGATGGTATGGTTGCCATGATGGAGTACAGAGACATTGACGGTGCCTCTGTGCCCGTTATGATGTTCTTCAAACATGGCCTTGAGGAGGAGAAGTTCTAATTGTACTGCATAAGTGAAACTCAATATTCCATATATCTGAAGCCTCAACATTAACTTTTTTTATTTATTTACAACAAAATCATATCTGCATCAGCTGAAACCGGCTCTTTCCACCACAAGGCTGAATTATTGTAATATTAAACAATGTTACATAACTATTATAAATAAATTAATGAACGACTAACTGCCTTTTATATACCCTTTATCCTCCATTGAGAACTCTGAAGTTCAAAAGCCATTTTTTTATATTAATACTAGCGGATGTGCTAGACATCACCTACTGGGCCAAATAGTGTTTTCAAACCATCCAGGAACTCGAGCACAAAATTCATTATCACAATCACAATCTATTATCTATGTATACTGTATTCTTTTAAAGAAGGTGTTATTAATATATATTCAGGTTTTCTTAATTCCATTATCTATATAGTAAAGCTATTATATTGTTTACAACTAATACGGAAATATTCAAAATCTGTTAATATAAAAATCGAAAACGTCGCCATGAGAAACGTGAATACCCATAAGATTTGCAGTCAAGTGTGTTTGCTATACTTACACATTCTCGGTACAATATTGTTTTTAATTATACATGTACTTATATTTAGATATCATTGAAGGCGTTGACCCGGTTGACCTCGAGATGTCTTTCAATTGTACGTTGTACTACTAGTATGGTAAATGATAATACAAAGAATTCTTTGAATTACATATTAGTAAAAAGAATGCTTTTTCTATGGTAACCGATTTTTATTATTCTTTTTTAATGCCCGAGGCATCTTATATATATATAATGTACCCATGCAATAAACGATGAACATTGTGTAATTTATTCAACTTCAACCATCCTTCATAATATCACTTAACCATACTCAATCATTTATCACTAAACCATGATACATTACTAGTGAATTTGTCACGATGGTCTAACTAACCTACCTCGTCTTATCATCCACGCCAGCGTAAGCCATCAACGCAGGCGGGTGTACCATTTTATTATCATCCAATAAAAAAATAGTGTGAATCAAATATGGTACGACTGATAGTAACGACTACAGCAACCTATAGCATGATTTCATATAAATTAATTCCCAGTAATTATTCATATGGTCCTCATACTTATGTATCAATTTAATTGTAGATTCTAACAGATGGCGTAATAAAATTGTTCTTACAGTTAGTGTCTGTGTGTGTAGAACATTATTACCACATGTATTATTTCTTTCATTCACTAGATGGCGGTGTTCCGAAAATTTTCTTATGCAACACAGCACTAATATTAAAGACATTTTATTTATACATCCTTGAAGTTAATATACATATCAAACACGCAGAGCAATACAGACGTTCATACTCATTACAGTCCGAGAATCGAACGCGGCACTATTGCAGGAAGGTAATATACTAAACGGCTCGGCAGCCCCGATTATAATTTATTAATCTATGAACACTTAGCAGGAATTAAGACCAAAGAGAATAAAACACATATTAAATTTGAGGTATGTTATATTATCGAGTTTGTATGTAGGTAGGTAATAACTACAATAAAGTACAGAAATGACCGATGATCTATTACAATGGTGAGAGTACGCTAATCACATTTTCTTCATATGTATTTAATTAATATTTTTGTATACTTTTTAGGCATCAATAGGCACTAATAAATGCCTTAAATCGTTTACTTAGTCTTTAATTTCTCCGTATTTACATGAACATAATACCATCATAAGATCCAAGAAGTATAGCGTGTAGGTGAATTTATATGAAGGCAAGTAACTTGTGCACGGTTTCACACCGAACTCTTTCCAAATAGTATAGTAATTGTTAATTTGAATAAAAAAGAAACAAACAATCTACACATTAGTTGAATATTGTTGTAGCTTAAGTACTTATATTAGTCTTTTCAACAAGTATGTAGCATAAAATCATAGAGCACTACAAATATACAGAGTGTAAATTTGACTATAGTAGGATATTAATAATATTATGTGTATGTCAAACAAATTTAAGAAAAATATTACAAACAACATCTCTCTATGAATATAAATGATGATACTGATAGCATTATTATCATATTTCTATTAAACTGTTTCTAGAATGATCACTGGCCGAAAATTCAGTCAGTAATTTCATACAATGCTCTGTGGTAATATAGCCAATCTAGTGTAATCTAAATAAAAGGCTTTACTTTTCTTTGTGTTTCAAAAGTGAAATAAAAGCCACAGATAAATAAAAATTATAATTTTGTTTTGTAAAAAAAGTATTAAATTTCTATTAATATTAGGAATATAATATTTTTTACAGCAGTTTTACTTGGAACTAATTCGTTGTGAAACGTCCCTACACTTTGATATACTGTATGACCACAGAGGATAACGATGAACAATAATGATCACAGTTTAAATATGAGTGGTGTTGTTATAATATTAATTTTTTTTGTTTTACTTACGAATTTCCTGTCTGATTATTTTTTAAATTTACACTCTGTATGTCATGTAGGTAGTCATATGTGGTATAATTCAATACTACATTAGTTTTAAACATCTTTCAAGTTGCCTATGGAATAAAAATTGTAATTAAAATTTTTGATGTAAGCACTACCACATTCAACAAATAAAAATATAACATTAAAATTAAAAGTATTGTATGTAAATTCTCAAGAATTGATTTTCATGTTATTTGCTGTGGTTTGGGAGCCAGGGCTCCATATAATTAATTTCATATATTTCATTCAATTTCTCATAGATTATGTGTATGGTTAAAAAAATATATTATTATATATTTTCTATCAGGCGCATGGTTATGGGCGGTTGGTAAAAGCAAAATCGAGGCTTGTTTAAACTTAATGACTTGGATTGGAATGTAACGTCTCCATACAAGTTTATAGTTAGTACACAGGTTGAAATATGAACATTTAAAAAATGTGCGTTTCTCATGCACATTTTTAGTATAAATGAATGAGTATCATATTTATCATTATTTATATAGGTAGAGATATTGTCTTTTGAAAAGATACATAAAACAAAATGGCCGCCACACTTCTCTCATTCTCTGAATTTCTATATTATCGACACTCTCAACCTCTATTTTGCTGTCACCGGCCAGCCTCACTTGGTGCCTACTTTTTTTTTAATGATACCGGCAAAAGTGAACAATTTGATAATGCAACTGGGTCTCAAATCTGATAAACTAATAATGTCATTCGATAATTTATTCCTACAGACGTTTTATGCAGCATTTGTAATTTGAAGATTTAGGACTGAGTACTGCTAATTTATAAAAAAGTCAAACGAGTAATAAATTATTTATGCAAGTACTTATCACATTTTTTCGTCACTATTATCGAATTAAAATTAAATTTCATAAGTAAGAATGTGACAAACATTAATATGTACTTATAATATAATAACTTTATTGCATGATTTACATTTCTTTGTATTATTAACCTACGCGTGTATAATATAGTACGAGTTCTGCATTACATTTTTGAGTGTAGACATAGTATTACTCAAACATATATTGTGGTTAGTCAGATTTAATAACAATATTAAATAAGGTTGAAGTACCCCGTTCATATCTTCTGAGGCGAATAGAAATATCGTTTCTGCATCGTTATGGCAATAATAATGCACAATTTAATAGTCTATGATAAAGTAACGCTGTATGTAGGTACTTAGCATTGTAATTGCCAAAACAATGATCGGAGACTAATAAATAATTTGAATGTCTATATTTATATCGTCTTAATGAAGTACAATATTAAGTTGAGCATACAAAGTACGTGTTGATATTTGAAACAATGGGTGCTTGTACCTACACAATATGAAGTTAGAGTAAGTATTATAACAATAGTGACACAAGTAAGAAATCTTATTCGGATATCAGTCGATATAGCAAACAATACGATATCAGGAAACTAGAAATTATTTATGATAATTTTAGAAGAACAAGATCGTATTAAATTTTATAAATATCTCAATATAGTATAAATATATTTACACTTATTCAATCTAATATTTTCTCATATTGGTGTCTTATTTAACGCACACTTACTTTATTCATTTATAAATAAAATATTAGACATTAAAAAGTTTTCTTATGGAATGGTTTTTGTACAAAATCAAATACAAATTCCACCGAATCGGTGGAAAACAATACAAATCACAAGTGTATGATGTACAATCATATAGGAGCCCCGCAGTGGCGCGCGCGGAGCCCCACTACCTTACCACGACTAGTCTGTACAACGTACGTACTGTACCTCCCGCTAATGAAAGTCTCACTTTCAGGCGCCAACGACTCATTGAAAAATAGATCCATCACTACTTAAATTTATAATTTACAAATAAGGTACTCTTTTAATCGAATTACAATACGGGATAGTCCTCACTGGTCGTACGTACACCGGAGCCCGATAACTAATGTCACTAACCGCTCTAGAGCACTACATTCCCATCACACTGATTCCGTCCATAGAAAAACTTAATGGAATGAAGATTTATTGCTAGAATTACAAGATCACAAATGATTGAAAGAGTTCACAGGGCGTTCTCAACAGTTGAAGGTGTTGGAATGACTGCAGGAGCGTGGGTAGTCATCGATCGACCGCCCATACCCATTCTCCGGTATTATTGAGTATTCCGGTTCGCTGTACTCAGAGTGCTCCCTCTCATATTCCCTGTCATTTCTCGGGAAGCCGATTATAGTCTCCGAGTTACGGATATACCCGTTTTCTTGCTTCCTAGAATACCGCGTGTCGAGATTACGCTGGAAGTTTTCCGGATGGCATACAACACCATTCCGGTTATTCTTTTTATCTGGAAGGGAACGTAAGGAGCCGTTGTTGAGATGATGAGCCGGTGCCCCGTTGTTTAATGTGAGTGGTTGATGCCGCGCATCTCCGCCGATGTACGTGAATCCGTTGGCGGGCAGAGTGCCGCCGCCTCCCGAACGCTGCGGCCGCCGAGCTGAGCCTTGGCCGCCTGACATGAAAAACACGCTCGGAGAGGCGTAAAGCTCTAGCTACAGTTCCGTCACAGGAATAGGCCTGTGTGGCGCTACCGGGTATTGGGATGGGTGGATACCCCGGACTATACAGTCTTCCTCGGTAGATATAGGTTTGTGGTACTCGAGATTTTTGCGTCCCTTATTCCACTTGAAATCCTTTAGTTTCTCCTGCATATGTTTGCGGCATTTATAAATGAAGAAGCCTAGTGTAGCGAGCACAGCTACTATTGAGACTATACTAAAACCTATTATAGTATGCTTTCCTGAATCGGGAAGTACGCAACCTAGATCATCGGCTTTTAAATTTCTCAAGTACTTGTCTTTCAGATGTTCAGGAGAAGCGCATTGTATTTGAGTGAAATTGGATTTGTCATATAGTAGATCACGAAGCCACATTATTTGGCAGTCACAAAATATTGGATTGTCCGTTAAGTCTAATTGTCTTAATTCTTTACCGACGAATACGGATTCACTTATTGTTACAATAGCGTTATCTTTTAAGGAAACGTGCTTTAATTTCGGTAAGCCCAGTAAAGCACTGTCTTCTATAATTGCTAATTTCTTGTTATTAGCCAATACAACAGTCTCTAAATTAACATTATCCTCGAATGCTCCTTTTTCAACTCGCTCAAGTTGCGTGGTGCCTGTAATATCCAGCAATTTCAGATTTTTCATTCCCTTAAACGAGTGGCTTTCTAATGTTAAAAAGTCGTTTTGTCCGATATACAATTCTTCCAGTCTTGTTAATCCAGATAACTGATTTGTGGGTACTACACTCAATTTATTTCCAAACAGATTTAAACTTCTCAATCCCGGGAGACCTCTGAAAGCACTTCCACTTATATTCAGAAGTCCAGCTCCATTTAAATCTAAAACTGTCAGTTTATTCAGGCCGGCAAAAGCATCATCTGGTAAATAAGAGAAAGCGTTAAGTCCTACGTGTAACTCGGCCAAGCTACCTAATAAGCTGAATGAAGTGGTAGGCACTGAACTTAGTTGATTGTCATCTAAGTAAAGTATTCTTAATGCTGTTAATCCAGCGAATGCTTTAGGTTCGATCCTAGATATTCTATTTTGTCCTAAATTGAGTTCTTCAAGTCTCGGTAGAGTAGAGAATACACCATTTGGCAGTTCTTCTAAAAAGTTTCTCTTTAAATTTAGAACCGTTAATGAGTTTAATCCTTGAAAAGTGGTATTTGTGACGGAGGATATTTTATTGTGGTTTAGATGTAACTCTTGAAGTTTGCGCTGATATGCGAAGCTTTTAGTGGGTATGTTGACGAGGTGATTTTGTGACAGGTCGAGGTGTTGCAGCTCCGCATAGAACTGCATGGAACTATCGATTGTTTTGATCTTGTTGTTGCGGATTATAAGTCGCTGAATTGAGGGGTTGAGGGCGATGGGGAGGACATCGAGCCGACTCTCTTCGCAGACCACCACCAATGTGTCGTCGTTGCAGTTACATCCGTTCGGACAGTTTGCCAGAGCTGCAGCTCTGCCTTGCCACGCCAGAAGTTCGAGAGATATCAAAAGCATCTGGAAATGAGATAAAACAATCTTTTATTAAGTAGTACATACAAAGCAAAGGAGGTAAAAGGTATATGGTGTAACTCAATTTCATTGAAGTTATTTCATTTCGAATGTATAGAATCACAATCTTTAGGCAATCTTGTTTAACCGAACTCAAATGATTACATAATGTATAAACATGTCTTCGAAAATATACGTCTTAATAGGATGAAGGAATATAGTCGAGTTGATGGCCGCACCGTAAAAAAATAACGTAGAATCAATGTAAGGCGAGCGAGATTCATAGAAGGGAACGCAAAAGGGAAAATAAAATGATATTGAAATGGGAATTTTGCGCAGTTTTAATTTATTAAAATGCGCTCCGCGGAGGTGCCCGGGGCAGTTTCTTTGCTTCAAAGACTAGCTAGCACTTTTATTACGATTCTCCTTTTCAACAATTAGCAGCGAGATCCGAGCGGGAGCCGAGATTCGAGTCTAGAATTACAGTCCTGGTTTAATTCTGTTACAGCGAGATTTCTGATAGATGCATTGCCGACAATCTCGTCCTTTAGACAAAGCAACTTGCGCAGTTTGTCAGATAAGTGAGTTTATTAGCATTTTAAAGAGAAACGCGAGGAACAGGACTGTAAGCCAATTGGATATCCAAGATATCATCAAGTTTTAATGTCTCTACTTTCTAGTATTGTGTGCAACTGAAACGTTGCATTTTATATAATGTGTGTAAAATATTATAATTCAGTGCCTTTGCCGTTACACATCGAGGAAATGATTTCCATTTCCCCGATGTTTAACGGCAAAGGCGCAAATCAAAATTAAGTGTTTTGTAGCTTATTTGGCAACAAATTTGAGAATGACCGTTACTTTTATTTTACTTATTATATGAGTTTACAATTATTATCATACGTAAGAAGTTCACGTATATACTGTTGACTTAGATACTGGCTGCTACGACATGTGATGGTAGATTTTATTATTACTATTTTTGTATTTATATTATTTACACGGTTACATGGTGCTTCAGGTTATAATCTCGAATAAATTTATGTTTATGTAGGTTTATTGGAACACACATAATAATCAAAGAAGTACTATTCAAAAGTGCTTAAATTTATTTGAAGTAGTTTAGTGTTTATTTAAGTTTATTACAATAAAGATTATATCTATTCTATTTAGCTTTAAAGCGGTAAATTGCTTTGTAGGTATATTTAAATGTAGCTACAAACGGATCTAACAAAAGCCGGTACATTGCATAACGCTTTGCATTCCATTTGCAGATATCTGCTGTCCCGTTTATAGGGTTCCGTTCCCACAGGCGCAAATCAGAATCAAAATTCGATATGCGCTAGGTTATTCGTAAACAGAGCCGCGTTGTACTCGTCTGCACACGGTGAAATTTCCGCTAAAATCCAATAAACCGCTCGTTTCGACACATTGCAAGGGACTTTTGAGCGATTTTCCACATTTCATAAATGCAGATTCTTTGTTTGTCCTAGTTGTACATTACGGCGAGTGAAGTTGTGGAATAAGTTGTTGTAGGAAATATCATGAAATAAAAATTAATCTTGAATATCTATTTATTACAGCTATCGACAATTCTATAAAAAAAATCCTGCACATTGAATCACTTCACATCACTTGCTTAGTGTTACAAAGTATGATCAATTAGGCACTTATATTTAAAAAAATATTTTCGAGATGCAATTTTATCTAGACTAATTATTGAGAAAAAATAATATCTATTTGAGTACCTTCACGGAAGGTGAGATTAATGAATTTTTTATGGAAGTTAATACTTAAGTGTACTGAAATCGTTGTATGGATATTAAGATATCATACAAAAAAATAAAGACTTTGGTAAATACTGAACGTGACTCGTACCTACAGTAATCTATAATAAATCTTGAATACTAACTAGCGAGTTTACACTACAGTATAACAGTGACTTGCCTACTTCCACAAGGTAATTTTTTTCTAGTAAATACACAAAAAGGGCGTTACATACGATAGGTGGGCGTGCAAAAACGCCGTAAAGCGACGGCGCAAGATAGGTATGCAAATCGTATAATTGCGACCTGGCCGACACATGAAAAAAGCTTTATAGACAAGGCCTGATCAAAGGGTTCCGTGACCGTAATACTTCTAACAAATGTTTTACTAGAAACGTATATGAACATATATACAGATCGATGTCTCGAATTAATATATTTTATACTTTATACGTCCAGTAAGCAAAGCGGTATTAGTAGAATAGTTAAAAACTTTGTCTTGGCGTTTGTATATGATCAATGTACCTAGTATTATAAGACGTACTAAATTAAAAAATATTATTTATATAACACTACATTTGTAACATTTAAAATATTTATTTATTTATTTATATAACTTTAATGCACAAAATACCAAGGTAAAAGTACATATGGCGGACTTAACGCCTTAAGGCATTTTCTACCAGTCAACCATAGGCTGTGCAGAGAAAAACTGTAGGCGGTGCAAATATAATTAATAAAAACAATAGGTAAAAAAAAAAATTATACATATACTAAAAGTAAATACATGTAAACACATGCACATACATACACAAATACATATATGTAAAAAGTATGCAATTTTTCTGAACAGCTTTTTGGACTAAATATTAACACAGCATTCAAGAGAAATTTCGTAAATAAGATGTGCCGAAAAGATATTTATTACACATAATCTATAAAATATATCAATTTCTAAAAACATATTACAATTCAATATAAAAAATACATTAAGTATTTCAAATTATATCGAAAAGTATATCGAAATAACTAAAATGGAAAATAATATTTAAAGAAATAAAATGTTCAAGAAATACATTTAATTCTCAGGGTTCGCTGGTTTCCAACTCGTAATCGCTCTATCGACTCTTATAGAGGTTATTACCATAACATATACTTATAATTGGCACTAGACTATCACTGGTTTAATAATGCAAAACGTTGATTAAAATGCAAACTAAATCAGTCATCGTCCACCTGTTTGTGTTAGCCCATAGCTCGGCTGGACGGGACCCTAAAACAACCCTTTCGCGATGGCCAGCGGCGAAATCCGTTATTCAAATTAGCAAGCAAATTCTGGCGGTCCTGTTGATTAAAAATGCGAGCGACAGACGACAGGCGCAACCGATTTAATTATAATAATCCGAGTGATGTTTTCTAGTTTACTATTTTTTCCATGCACTAATGTTAGCCGTTAGTATTTAACGTTTTAACTTAAAGTTTTAATATTGAATATTTAAATTTTAATTTTTATAATTTTTGTTCAAAATAGCATCAGTCTTAATAACCATCTTAAGGGTCGGCAATGCGCACGTGACACCCTTGGTGTTTCAGGCGTCTATAAGCTACGGAGTTACCGTTTACCATCAGATGGGCCTTATGCTTGTTTGTCACATACGTGGTATAAAAAAAAACGATAAGTGAACCACTTAAGCTAGCACAATTTTCTGTACTATGCCGTTTAAAAAAGGAATGCAATTGCTTTACCTCTATTTTATTACAAAAATCTATTTTGGTAGTGAAAACAATTGTAAAAAATTAAATAATCAATCCGTTTGTTAAAGATACGATCATGTGAATATTAGAAATAGGTTCTAAATGGAAATTTAGCATCGCATATCTTATCATATTATTCGTAAACTCGTGTAGAGATATCAAAACCAATCGTCTATTAATTAATACGGGAACCTTAGGCAACCAAATACTACATTAATATACATATTATATTATACCGTAAATACCCTAGTATATGATGTATACACTGCTAGTTATTGAGTAGATAGTAATCTTGGACAAATTACCTAACATTTGATTTATTCGACGGCTTCGGTGGTCTAGTGGTTTAGTACACCGCTTTACTTCCGATAGTCGCAGATTCGATTCCTCGCACGGTGCTACTTTTGGTATTCATGAATTTGATTGTTTGTCAGCTTGGGTCATCAACTGGTAAATTTTATAATATATATGTTCTTTAAAAAAATGTATCTGTGTATACATATCAGTTGTCTAATATCCATAATATAAGCTGTGCATAGTTTGGAATTAGATGTCGGTGGAAATTATCCAGGGATAAATATTTTAAATTATTGAAATGAGCAATAAAAGCAAACAGCTTTAAGATATGAAGATATGAACTATATCGGAACGCCGCCGGAGAAAGAATGTGTGGAAGGATAGTACAGTGCCCCAATGACTGGAATAGTGTAGCTAGCCCATACTTGCTACTTGCCTCCCTACGCAGCTGGATAGTCAAAGTGAAGATGTTTCTAGAACATTTGGCAGTGAGTTTGAATTTTTAAACATTTCATCGATTTGGTTAAAACATATTACTAACAAAAATCAATTTGAAAATCTGTTTTATTTATTGATCTATATCAAACAACCGAATTGAAGCATTGTATTATTCACGACTTTTTCTGTTTCAGCCATAGTTTCCAACAATGCAACTGCCGAGATTGAAACTGAAATAAAACTCGTATTTTTCATCAAATTTGATTGAAACCGAAATTTCCTGAAAAACACCGTAACTAACTAACAAAACATAACTGCGCGAATGTTATGTATAATATAATAAACTTCATAGAATGTAATACATAGGAACTTGTTCCTATTACCAGTCTAATACTGATAAAGGACTTTCTCCTCGAGTAAACCATAACACGCATCGATTCATACCAGGGTTGTCAACTGTACTTATACAGGGACCGAGAAATTCGGTTACTGGTAGAGGTAAAGACAGCATATCCATTGTAAACAGCAAAACAGGAAATCAAACAACAAAATTTAGATAATCGGCACTCGAATATTCCCTAGATAAGACATCGTACAATCGAGTAATTCTCCAGTTCCAGCAGAAAATTAACGACTCACAAAACAACCACTAATCTTGATAGGAAAATCCTAACAACTATATGGACAAAAACAAACTACTGTCTCTTAAACAAACAATTGCACACAATAGGTGCTACAGATGGTCCTTTTTATCGGGGCTGCTTTGAAGCCGAAAAATGGCCGCTTATGTAATCCTGGAGCAGCAGTGGCCACACAATGCACACAAATCCTCAGAACGGTGAGGTCGCTCCATGAAGCTTGTTAAGTCACTAGGAGGCTTCTATGCTTCTGGGAGATTGGCTGGCTACTCTTGTGGTCTCAGCTCTACACGTATAATGGCCCAAATGAGAGGATAAATGCGGAAAATAGAATCCAACAGACATAACGAGATGACCTATGGATATTTATGAGTAACCTTCATACTGGTAAAATTTTTTATCTAGTGTATAAAATAGCAGCAAAATTTTGTTGCGTTCCGCACCCACATCATCAAATGATATAGAAGGTTGTAAGAAATTCATGAGTATGTACTAAGTAACAAATTAACGTTGGCAACCCTGATTCATAAACAAACTGTGTGTTTACCCATACGGACAATCACAGAGTTCACGCGCTATTAGAGACGCTGCGATTTACGTTTCGTCGTGGTGACTAAAACTAAAGACCTATACAAAGATATTGATAACCAATGCTGAAGGCTCATGTATCTCTGGACACAATAAAATAACGCTTTTCAGCTCGCTTCATTTGTCGTCCACAAACGTTCGGCAAATGAGTGCATCGCATTATGCATAACCGTTTCTGTGCGTATCCGAGCGTCCCCCGCCGGTGCCGTACGGTTCGTTTTAATCGCGGTCTGTTAATTGTTATTTGCTCGATTTGTTCACACAAATTACTAATACATATATATAACTGAAGAGTTTGTTTGAATGTACTAATTTTTAGAATTACCAGTTGGACTCGACAATACCTTTTTGTATTCGATATATCATATATTGACATTTAGAAAAATAATAGCGCTGAAAAGTGATGCGATACGATGCTATGCGTCAAGAAATGGCCGGCCGATATAACTGGCCTTTCTTTTAAATTAGGCCGCAGGGCATAACTAGTTCAAACTACATATATGATTTTACAAAATACTCAACATTTCTTAATAGAGCAACACGTAAATTTTATGCTCATTCTTCTTGTGATGTCTACATTCTCATTTTTGAATGAGTGGTAGAAGAAAAAAAAATATGACTATATAAAAGTGCTTATATGAAGATTATTTCTAATAAAATAGTTCCCCTAAAAAATACGACATGCTCAGAAAATATGTTGCGTATACTACTACTACGTTGTCGGTTAAGACGATGTATATTACAGATGATAATAGACTGACAAATGCACATAAAAATATTGATCTTATATACTAAATAGCAATAGGAAAACGTAAGGTGGGGTGACACAGTTTAGACACGGCAGTGTTTAGTAGACAATATTGAGTCTTACTAGCCATAAAATGAATTACATTTATTATATTGATGTATATAGGTAACTGTGTTCCATAGGCTGTAAATTATTTAAAAAAGTATTAACCAGTAGAACAATTGCACGTGTGCAAAGCCAGGTCAGATCGCTAGTTGTGTATAATTCTCATTGTACAGAGATACTGATTTAATTACGAGGACGTAGTTCGGATATTACACGGGTGGGTGTTGTTTGCGCGCGTAATTCATTTGCGCGGGGCGACACTAACGTTATCAATATTTCGATCGAGATTTATTGGTGTATGGGGGTAATTGGTAAAGCACACTGCATATATTTGGTCGCTGAATTATTTTATAGTAAAATATATGAACGGATTTAATTATTATTGTGTTATCTATTTTGAAAGGCCTGCGCTACTTTTTATCATCGCACCGCTCGCCATCGATAATAAATTCATCCCTCCACTTGGTTTCCAGACCCAAGTTGTTTCGAATATTGCTATTCTAATTCACACACTACTTTCAGCCTAATTCTCACAAAGCAACAGATGTACAGAAAGTTTCTGCTGCGTCACGATTTTACGATTTATATTATTAATAATAATAACCAAGGACAATTAAGACGGCGCCATTTAAGCTGAAGTTAAGCAGAGCTTGTGTTATAGGTACAACTGAAAAACAAAATACTTAAATAAATATTTGTTACTACATCCATAATATACATAGAAAATACCAACACACAGAAATTTATGTATGCCTATGTTCTTAAGTGTATATTATATTCTGATATATAGGCTATATCACTTAAAGATTTATCATAATCCGTTCAGTTGTTTTTGCGTGAAAGATTAAAAAACATACTCATAAACTTTCGAGTTTATAATATTAATAAGTATTACAATCGTTTAAAAATACATACCACAAATGTATTGGAGGTGATGAAGTCTGCTATTCGCCGCCCGAAGCCCAGTGGCGCCATCTGCAAAGAATAAAGTAAATTAACGAGTGCAGCCAATAATTTCAATCAGACAAATTGCAGTTGGTTTATTTGAGTTGCAAATGCAGTAGTAGACGCGTCCCGTGTATAATTTGTAACGTTAAAATAGAAGGTACCTATCATAGTAACATACTTAGCATGTGGCTGGTATACAAGCCGATAGCGGAATATACGGAGATTTAATAAAAGCGCGTTTTAAATCTTCAAGTAACAAATAAATAAAATTTTAATTAAAATCAAATAACAACTAAATAAAACAGAAGTGTCTGTTTGTAATTTCAAAAAGTTTTTCATTAAATGCACTTGTAAGTACATACCGTGTGTATCTTATATCAAGAAATTATTAAAAAAAATTGTCTGTCTGTTCGTTTGTTCTTGGTAATTTCGTTCAAATAGGAGGTAGTCATACGTAGCATGTGGCTAGTAAATAAACAGATAGCGCAATATACCGCGATAACAATTAAAATAAAATTTAAGTGTCTGTTTGTAATTTCAAATTAACAAGTATTACTAAATGCACATGAAAATATATATATATATACGGTACATATATAAAAAAAATATCTAATCTAATATAATAAGGCGTAACTTACATAACTATTTTTAAAGAATTATTATATATTTTGGTTGTTACGCGGCGCAATAGTGTTGTGTAGTGCACTAAAAGGGTTTAAATTTTTTCTTCAAATCGCTATAAGTTGTTGACTTGTATCCCCTGCCATATTTGCCTGGCTACATTTATAACTAATCTACGCAAATGTCGGTTCCCACTAGGCCTACTATTACGCAGTTAGAATTCAGTCTTGTTTATAACAATTTCATTAAACCGAGCCACAATTCAAAATAATCACTATGAATGACAAGGCAAAGAATCGAGGAGCATTGGTCGACTTTTAACCTGGTCATTTCCCATGGAAATATTTTATGCAGCTCTATTAAAAAAGTTTTGTATACCTAATAAATTAAATACCAACCAACCAATAGATTATATGACTGTATTTAAATTATTTTTATATACATAGACATTATTGAATAAATAAAGTATTACTTTAATATAGGACGGCTTAAATGGTCTACGGTTCGTTTCCCTGTACGGTGTATGACTGTTTGTATAGATCTGGGTTTTTTCTATGTGTATATTTAAATAAATGAATATATATATGTACTTCTATCAATTGTCTAGTACCCATAACTAGCTCTGCTGAGTTTGGGACTAGATGGCGCTGTGTCCTGGAATATTATTTAATACCCTGGCATCATTTAAAAAATGGCCGTTTCTGACAGATTTTTTAAGAGTGACGATGAGATGGTGCACTCTGAGGGATGACTTTATCAGGAATTGATCATGATGATTTCCAGTAAGACCGCTTAGTAGTCGACCTGACAGGGTAATGACGATCCCTATTAATAACTTTTTAACCTGGCTCTGTTGCTTGGCAATTTAATAAGAAGCATTTTAAACGGCCCTTTACATTTAAGTGGCGTTTCTAATGTTCATGACTGAGTAATAACGTAATGGTATATAAACCCATTATATTTAATTTGTACCCTATTATTATTTAAATTAAGGAGTTTAGTAACGTATTTTCGGTACGGCTTTATTTTGTCTATGGTTGAAAACCCATCTGTATCGGAAATAATTTACGTTACTATGAGGGTAGATCAAATAACTTCTAATACGTACATTATAGGCTAATATATACTTTTTGTAGCTAAAATATCTATGATTGTGATTTTATCAAATGATTTCTTATCGGGTTATCAAAATAACACTTTCATAAAATATGTATACGTTACGTAAACTATAGAATAATATATTTTTTATAGACATAAAATTGATATAAGCTCTTTTGAATAATCATATTTTCCTGATCCATAATTTGGATTTCAGACTCATCACTAGAAAAAAGAGCAAGAAACTTGCGTGTTGCTCTTTTAAATGAATGTTGTTCATAGTAAATACACATTAATGAGGATTACGCTTGCGCTATACTTACAATGATTTATAAGAATCTAACAAAATAATAGAATACTTATGTAAAATGGTTACAGAAAATAATTTAAACAGGAGATATGAAATTCTTCACCGAAATACATCCGACATTGTTCAACGTTGCGTTTTTGAGTTATCACTTTCTCGCGGCGTTAAACCGAGCCATACATTACTGCCACCGCGATACAGATTACCCTTCCAACATAAAGAATTGCGATGCCGTCATTAGTTAAACAGGCATTGAACAACAAAGCGTTCGGAAACTCCAAGGCTGAAGGGGTCTAATGGTATTTTCAGTTGGAAAATTCAGAACAAGTTGGTAAGTTGAAACTTTTGGTTTGTTTGCGGGACGCCCAGCGGTCATTACAAGAGTGAGCTGGCGGAATTTCCGCTTAAAAGTAATTTGCTATGTCACTAGTGGCTGGAATTTAGGAAACAAAACGTGTTTACAAATGCAAAACGAAGTGCTAATGACTGTGCTAGTTTAAAGTTAAAAAAAAAGCTTCGTTAAACGCTCTTATCATAATTTTTTTAGTTTTATTTATCCTTATAGGAAAGGCAAAGAGCCTTAGCCCTTACAGCCGTTATGCTCTTGTCATTTTATGACTTGCAAGGAGTGACGTTGCACGGAGCAGTCGCGTGGCAGATGAAATTTCTCATCGACAACTTCCGAACAAGTATTCATCTATCTAATTAATTGCTTTACAAGATGACGTTTCAAAAATGCTTAATTGCGCTAATTGTAACCAGATTATAATAAATAGAATCATCAGTTCGTCAGCATTTTGTCGCTAAATTATTAATAGGATATGCACTGTATTCTGCTTATGTACATAATATAAGTCAAAAACAAACGCACTTCATTAATCGAAGCTATGCACGCAGATTAATCTACCTATAAGTAATGATGAACGAGTAGAATCAACATATATTATACAGATAAAGTGTAACTATGTACCATTAAAATAATAAAATATAGTGTATACACGCATATATGTCTTTCTAATTCACAAATTTCAACATATAGTACGTACATATTTACTTTATTGTACAAGGCGTGTATATTTCCACATCGTATCATTAAATAATGTATCACAGAGTACACATTGAAAAAGGTCTCAGAGTCCGAACCGAGAAAATTTACCCTCGTACGTACCTGACTATCGAATATATACCGGCGAAATAAACTCACATTTTCTATCACAGACAAGTGTTTACAAGCTTTCAAAGGGGTACGTAACCTCTGAGGACGGCGTCTCCAACCTTAGCTTTTAGGTTTTACATTTTAGTCAACCGTACTGAATAGTAAACACTTAGATGCAGCTACAGATTCTAGTTTTGCGCACTGTCCATCGTCGATACTCGACCCAACTGAAAGTTGAAAGCGTACTTCGCTATTATTTTTAAGATTGTTTCAATTTTGTTACTAAGTAGTACTGTTGGAGCAAGTTTACTAACATTATTTATGTTACTTATTTGTTTTCTGCTTGTCTGTATCGATGATATATTGAACAACATTGAGGCAATTTTATGTTTATTGAAAAGTTTAAAACTTGTATATATTGGTGTACAATTCCTATTTATGTAGTTAACCACATGGCAGTACAAAGGTATCAAAGTAGACACTATAAGAAGAGATTTTCTTTCAGGAAGTAATGGTATAGTCATTTATTGCTGCCTAATTGAAAGGGGTGGTTATAATTATTAATGCTTACTAATATTATAATTGCGAAAGTAACTATGTCTACCTATTTTTTAGGCTGTTGATAAAATATAAATAAAGAAAAAGGGTTGTAAGGGGTTGAAAGGGGAGATGAAAGCTTGTGTGGAATTATCTTAATCTTTATAGCTAGAATGAAAAACTTTTTTATTTGGCTTTTATTGGGTTAGATTATTAAATGTTTTTTTAGTTTTTTATTCAAAGGTCACTATTTTAAGCGGTCGAAGTCGCAGGTACAGATAGTAAGGTTATATTTCTTCCGGTAACCCTTCGTTTTCTTTTTGGAAACAATATTTTTAACACCCTATTTCGTGTTTTGTTTATTTTTGAACCGAAAACAAACACCAAGTACACGTATGTAAATGTCGAAATATTTAAATTCACGTATACAGAAAAAGTCGTATCAAGGGGCCCGATAAAGACATCAAGTTGCTTTCACGTCACGTCCTGGTGTCAGCCAGGACGGCCCCCTACCACACTCACTAACACGGGATTGGAAATCGACCTAAACACACGGAAAAGTGTTTTAAAATACCCATTCTCCACGAAATGGATATGTTATAGTGTATTGGAAACGAAAAGGACGCGGAACGATCTTATTTACAGGACGTTATGCGAATCTAACTGTGGCGTCTTTAAGAGTCATGTCGGTTGGGTGTGATACATTGCAGGTACCATTGTAATAGCCAAGTTATAAATATGTAGATAGTTAGTTATGCCCTATAATTGATATATAATAATTAATATAATATTTAATAATTATATATGATATATATATATATATATATATATAATTAAATATATAACTTGACTGATACATATATTGCACTATTATTACTCAATCAAAACCTAAATAATTACGTCCAAATTTCAATGTCCAAACCAGAGGTCTGTTTCATTTCTGTTACATTTATAATATTAGTTTATTTTTTATTAGCTAATATATTAGGTTAATCAAGTATTCGCTTAGGTTCGATTTTTATTTATATTTTTATGTCTGTCACCTTCGTACTAGGTTCCTTAAGATGGTAGGCAGAGAGATACGCTTTTTGTAGCTGATCCCAATTATACATAACGGATCTAATTATAGGAACTAGCTCAGTCTAGGATTCCATCAGAACTCTAAACTACTTCAATATTGTAACGTTTCTCTTGATGGGTGAGATTAGAGAAATTACAGGATAAGAAGCATGACATCTTTCGGAATGGCTACGCTTATGATTCCCAACTAATATTACCTTAGGATGCGACAATTTCTATTCAAAGATG